CTGGTTTTCTCCCCGGTCCGATGGGATTCAGGAAGACGCTCAACGTGTGCTTTAACCAACCCCCCTCCGCGGGACCGTGTTCCCCGAGCCCACGGGACAGGAAGTAACTCGGTGTGGTCCTTTTGGACACTCGCGAACCACCGCCACGCTCTCTGCCGTCGCCCTGGGGTTTCTGCGCCCGCGCGGCCAAAGGCGCACAGACGGTTCAGTCCGGAACTCGTCGGCCTGCGCCTGACCGGAGGAGAACCCGGGGATGCCGGCACCCTCACTGGTTGGGACGCCAGACAGCCTTGTGACCAGACACCTGGAAGCCACGTCAACTTGATTTGTCTTCCACCCCCATCCCCGACGAGCCGCCTTTCGTTTTAAACTCATTTTTAAGAGCCCACTAGACCACACGGGCCACCCAGCTCCCCCGTGCCGGGTCTGGGGCGCCCCGTGCACCTGCTCGGGCCCAGCCCGATGGCAGAGGGCTCCCAGCAAACCCCGGGACCGGAGCCACAAAAAGCCACCTGCTCACCGGCTCCCAGGCCCGAACTTAGCCGGCCAACTCCGCCTTTCTTTACCAAGAAGGGGAGGGCTGTGCGACCCTCACCCACCCCCCCAGACTCCTAGGCCTGGGAGGGCGGGGTCATGAGGAACTGTGTGTCGCCCCCCCAGCTCAGCCTGACCTCTGCCCCCTCTCTTCTGAACGTCCCTCCACAGCGGCAATAGCAAAGGAAAGGACATCAACACGATCAAATCCCTCCGAGTCCTCCGGGTGCTACGGCCTCTTAAAACCATCAAGCGGTTGCCAAAGCTCAAGGTGAGGCTGGGAGATGGGGGGGCAGGGGTGGGGGAGGGAGGGAGCCTGTCCGGGCGACCATGTGCGGTTGAGCAGGTTGCACACTGCTCAAGAACCTCGCGTTGCAGGAGGTGCTGATAAATCGCAGCCGTTATATACGCGTATGTGTATTGTTACTGCTTTCCCAGCAGATGGCAGTAAAGTGAACTGACCTAACAAAATCTGTATGTTTGTATCATGGCACTTTTTCATTAGATGAAAAGCCTCAAGGTCAAGACCCCTTTTCCTAATTCATATGAAGGCATCATATGGGTAAGGAATAAAAAGGGTATAATCATAACCTGGGAAGCAGGAGCTAGCTTTTTTGGTCCCACATAACCTTTGACTTTTCGTCTACCTGTCCCAAGCTCCAGTATCTCCCATTCCAAGACAGCATGAAGCAACACTCCCCAAAATCTCGTCACTCAAGAAAGACTTGAAAGAAATAAAACTTAGTCATAAGAGCACCCGTTTTCAATTTGTGCTTCCTCTGAGGGCCGGCTGTATTATCTCTTATGGAATATTCTTTTAAGTCATTTTATTTTTTACATAAGTCAATTTATTTTAAAAGGAAATGCTGGCCAGGCACAGTGGCTCACACCTATAATCCCAACACTTTGGGAGGTTGAGGCAGGAGGATTGCTTGAGGCCAGAAGTTCAAGCCCAGCCTGCGCAACATAGCAAGACCCCATCCCTATTAAAAAAAAATAGAAAAATTAACCAGGCATGCCTGGTGGCACATGCCTGTAGTCCCAGCTACTTGGGAGGCCGAAGCAGGAGGATCGATAAGCCTAGGAGTTTGAGGCTGCAGTGAGCTATGATGAGTCCCCTGCACTCCAGCCTGGGCAGCACAGTGAAACCCTGCCCCTCCCCCACCAAAAAAAATAAAAAATAAAAGGAAATGCTATGGCAAGTTTCTCAAGTTGGAAAACCAAACCCACTGTCAATAGAAGGTAAAACTAAATACCTATCTCGGCGGGGCGCGGTGGCTCACGCCTGTCATCCCAGCACTCTGGGAGCTGATCGCTCCCAGAGTGGGGTGGAGTGCTTGAGGTCAGGAGTTCAAAACCAGGCCTGAGCAAGAGCGAGACCCATCTCTACTATACATGAAAGAAATTAATTGGCCACTAAAAATACATATAGAAAAATTAGGCCGGGCATGGTGGCGCATGCCTGCTAGTCCCAGCTACTGGGGAGGCTGAGGCAGGAGGATCGCTTAGGCCCAGGAGTTTGAGGTTGCTGTGAGTGAGGCTGACGCCACGGCACTCTAACCCAGGCAACAGAGTGAGACTGTGTCTCAAAAAAAAAAAAAAAAAGAAAGAAAGAAAGAAAAGGAAACTACAACCCCAGCTGCTGCAGGGCTGGGAGTGGGGTGAGGGACCCAGGGTGGGGTCTGTCCCCAACGCTGACGTCGCAGAGCTGGGTGGCCGTCGCCTGGGTGGCGGGGCTCATGACTCTGTGTGTGGAATGGGGATGAACATGACAGCACCCTGGCACTCTTGGGGCTGGTGGCGGCAGCCCCTCACCCGCCCGCGCCCCGCCCGCAGGCCGTGTTCGACTGCGTGGTGAACTCGCTCAAAAACGTCTTCAACATCCTCATCGTCTACATGCTCTTCATGTTCATCTTCGCCGTGGTGGCCGTGCAGCTCTTCAAGGGCAAGTTCTTCCACTGCACGGACGAGTCCAAGGAGTTCGAGAAGGACTGCCGGTGGGTCTCGGCCTCCCCGGCCCTCTCCACGGGGGCTCGCACTGGGGCGCGGGAGGGGACTGGCGGTGCTGGGCGCTGGGGGTGACTCAGAGGCGACCAGTTGGGGTCTGGAGTAGAAAGAGAGCCAGTTTGGGGACATGAGTCACTCCCCCTGCTGCGGGATGAGTCACGCGCCGGCCGCGTCACCTCCCAGATGCCGCCTTGGTCATGTGAGGGGTATTAATACACGTCCACGGCTCCTTATTTAAAACCGTCCCACGCAGATGGGCTTCACATTCCAGAACACTTTGAGACTTTAGAAAGGAGGCACAGTGCGTGTCCCGCAGCGGACGTGACCCCCCTCTCCCGCCGGGTCTGAGGCAATGCTCTGCTCAAAGATGTGACCATTTGCACCCAATAAAATAAACAACAAGCATAAAGAGCTTTATGTCCAGCCGGGCGCGGTGGCTCACGCCTGTAATCCCAGCACTCTGGGAGGCCCAGGCAGGAGGATCGCTCAAGGGTCAAGAGTTTGAAACCAGCCTGAGTAAGAGCGCAGCCTGCGTCTCTACTATAAATAGAAAGAAATTAATTGGCTAACTAAAAATATATAGAAAATATTAGCCAGGCATGGTGGCGCATGCCTGTAGTCCCAGCTACTCGGGAGGCTGAGGCAGGAGGAATCACGCTTGAGCCCAGCGGATGTTGTTGAGGGTTGCTGTGAGCTAGGCTGACGCCATGGCACTCACTCTAGCCCGGGCAACAAAGTGAGACTGTCTCAAAAAAAAAAGAGCTTTATGTTCAATCAGATCAGGTTTTGTTGCTACATAATCAGGTCAGGGACCAAGAAACTGTTTCTGCCAAGGACCAAATGGTAAATATTGTCAGCTTTGTAGACCCCACGGTCTGTGTCATACAAAAGCAGCCGCAGACGATCGGTCAACAAACTGGCACGGCTGCATTCTAAGGAAACATCATTCCAGAAACTAAAATTTGAATTTTATATGATTTTACTTGTCAGGAAACTGTTCTTTTCATTTGTTTTCAACCACTTAAAAAAATGTAAATAAGGTTCTTTGATCGTGGGCCGTACAGAAACAGGGATTATGTTCATAATGTCAGGTTAAATCAATTTTTTTTAATTAAAAAAGATTTGTAAAAAAGGAACAAGCTGGGCGTGGTGGCTCACGCTGGTAATCCCAGCACTGTGGGAGGCCGAGGTGGGAGGATTGCTTAAGGCCAGAAGTTCAGGACCAGCCTAAGCAAGAGCGAGAACCCGTCTTTGCCAAAAATAAAAAATTAGACAGCTATAGTCCCAGCTGCTCAGGAGGCTGAGGCAGGAGGATCGCTTGAGCCCAGGAGTTTGAGGTTACAGCACTCCAGCCAGGGTGATAGAGCAAGACCCCGTCTCAAAAAAAAAGAAAAAGAAACAGTGGTCCAGATTTGATCAACTGGCCTTTAACTTGCCTGAGTTTGGAGGAAAATGTTTGGTTTTCGGAGCTTTCTGGGTTTTGGAGCTGTGGGTGAGGGATCGTGGAGTTCACATTCCCAGCCTCCCTCATCAGCCGCACGGCTGAAGGCTCTGAGCTCAGCCCGGGAAAGTGCTAAGCCCTTAGCTAAGCTCTCAGGAAAGGCTGCTTTTGTTGCTAGCGTGTTCCCATGCAGCGAATGCTAGCCTTGTGGCTATTTCAGTGGCTGTTTCTTGAAATTAGATGGATCCCTGAGGGCCGGACACGGTGGCTCACACCCGTAATCCTAGCACTATGGGAGGTGGAGGCAGGAGGAGCGCTTGAGGTCAGGAGTTCGAGACCAGCCTGAGCAAGAGTGAGGCCCCATCTCTATAAATAATAGAAAAATTACCCCTAACAATATTTGTACCCCCATAATATGATAAAATAAAAATAAATAAAAATTAGCCGGGCATGGTGGCGCATGCCTGTAGTCCCAGCTACTGAGGAGGCTGAGGCAGGAGGATCGCTTAAGCCCAGGAGTTTGAGGCTGCAGTGAGCTGTGATGATGCCACTGCACTCCAGCCCAGGCAGCAGAGAGTGTGAGACCCTGTCTGAAAAAGAAAGAAAAAGAAAAAGGATCCCTGATGTGAGGGTAGGAATCTGGGGCACACCCTTGTTTCCTGCCCTGAAAGGGGGTGGCGGCCACCTTCCTGGCCCAGTGAGCCCGGAAACGTCCCCCGAGTCTCTCCCCCTGCCCCTAACCCCCCGACACGCGCCCGAGGCTCTCGCCCTCAGGACTAGAGTGTTCAGGCCGGAAGAGAGCACTGGACTCTGAGCCAGCTCTTGCATCTGGCACAGGTCTGTGGCATCGTGCATGCATTTGTCTCCAAGTGTATGCACACGTCGTCCCCCATGGAGCACAGGGAGAAACCGGTGCCACTGCCTCCAGGCCCAGGGGGGCGACATAGGCTGGCGGGCCCCTCCTCCTCCTCCTCCCGTCCCTGGGGGGCGAAGGCCGGTGCCGTCCCCATCACTCACAGCCCCGCTCTCCGTGGCAGCGGCAAGTACCTCCTGTACGAGAAGAACGAGGTGAAGGCTCGGGACCGAGAGTGGAAGAAGTACGAGTTCCACTACGACAACGTGCTGTGGGCCCTGCTCACGCTCTTCACCGTGTCCACGGGCGAAGGCTGGCCGCAGTAAGTGGCCTGGCGGGTGGCGCCGCGGGAGGAGCCCCGGGGAGAGGAGAGCCCAGTAGCGAGAAGGGCCGGGCGGGGCAGGGCGAGGCGGCTCACACCTGTAATCCCAGCACTGTTGGGAGGCCAAGGCGGGAGGGTTGCATGAACCTGGGAGTTCGAGACCAGCCTGGGCAGCACAGCAAGACCCCAACCCTGCAGAAAATGAAAATGAGAAAATTAGCCGGGCGTGGTGGCGCAGGCCTGTAGTCCCAGCTACTCAGGAGGCTGAGGCGGGAGGATGGGTTGAGCCCAGGAGTTCGAGGCAGCAGGGAGCTGTGATGACGCCACTGCACTCCAGCCCAGGCAACAGAGTGAGATCCTGTCTCTAAAAAACATTTTGCAATGAAAGGTTACTTGACTACTGAAGTTTTTGGCACCCCCTCGATTTGCACCCAAGGCAAATGCCTCCCTCTCCTCACCCTAATCCTGGCCCTTTCCCCAGCAGTATTGGAAATGCCAGGTGGAAGGCTTGGTAGAGTCCAGAATATGCCCTCAGCATCCTCACTTCCTTCCCTCTCTCATCAAACACACCAACCTGAACGTGCCTCTCTGCCCACCCCCACACACACGTGGGGCTAGTGCCAGCACTCAAGGTACATTTGAGTACATTTTTTAAAGACACCCCTTCCTCAATAAGCTCCACTTCCATCTGTCAGAAAATCATTGCAGTACACTTAAATGACTTTGTTCAAACAAGATGCTCGATGGCCGCCCGCCAAAAAGTTGTCACCATGCATGCACAAATCAATCATGTCTACCCTACATGAAGGTGGCGGTTTAGACACAGAGCCCTTAAGCAGTGCACAACCCGTGCAACCGTACAGAGCTGCTGTGTACATACCGACTCCCACGCTCTTCCCCGTTGTACTCAGCACCTACGTGTGCTCAAATCCCGCCCCACGTTCATACCCCTGCCTCCATGAGCCCCTGCTCGCTCCTGCCCTTCACCACAAACGCGGCTTCGGATTCCAGCTCGGCCACTTGTAAGGGGGCGATCTTCAGCTCATCCCCCTACATTGCTGAACCTCAGTTTCCCTTTGTGTGCAAAACAGAGCCAGTAACGACCTCCCTGAGAGGGCGGCGGGGGGCAGAAGGTGAAACGTCGAACGTGGTTTCTGGCACGGAGTAAACCGTCCGTGCGTGGCGGTGGAAATAACTGATATTGCTGTCAACTTTCATTTCTTTTCCATTTCCGCTGAACATTTCCCTCCACTCCCGCTCCCCCGTCCTGCTCCCGCCCTCTCCCGCCCTCCTCGTCTCCTCTCGGCCCCTCCTCTCTCCTGCCCCTCCCCGCTCCCCGCAGGGTGCTCAAGCACTCGGTGGACGCCACCTTCGAGAACCAGGGCCCCAGCCCCGGGTACCGCATGGAGATGTCCATCTTCTACGTCGTCTACTTTGTGGTGTTCCCCTTCTTCTTCGTCAACATATTCGTGGCCTTGATCATCATCACCTTCCAGGAGCAAGGGGACAAGATGATGGAGGACTACAGCCTGGAGAAAAACGAGGTGCCGCTCCCCAGTTCCAAGTGTCACCGAAAAACGGACGCCTCTCCCTGCCACACACACACACATGCACACGCACACGCACGACAGCCAGGAACCAGCTTCTGGGGACATCTGGGGAGGGGACATCCTCCAAACAGAGCCCCGTCTTCAGGGCAGCCCTTCGTGGGGTTTCCAGGGGAAACCGTGTCGGCCGGCGCGTGTATTAGTCAGCGCAGGCCGGGTTTTGCTGCAGTAACGAGCACGCCCGCCTCTCGGTGCCAGACGGCCGCACAGGACCCTGTTTCTCGCTCACACTGCCTGTCGCGGCCAGCTGTGGCTCTTTCTCCACCTTTCCTCTGGTTCACAAACCAGCGGGGCAGCCTCCCTGTGACCTGCCTCAGACCCTAAAGCGAGTAAATTGACAAGGCTGGGGACTTGGGCCCCCTGGCCGAAAAGCAAGTCACGAGTCGGTGTCCCCTGTCGGGGGGGCGGAGAGGTGCAGTCTCCCCCGGGGAAGGGCAGGGAACGTGTGCGGACGCAAATCCCGTCCCGCAGAGTATCGATGTGATCTTTCCCTTCCGGCATCATCCAGGCCGGGGGGAGAGCCTAGAATCTATCTATCCTCTGCCCTGTTGACCCTTAAGACTTAATGACCATGGCCGGGCGCGGTGGCTCACGCCTGTCATCCCAGCACTCTGGGAGGCCGAGGCGGGTGGATTGCTCAAGGTCAGGAGTTCGAAACCAGCCTGAGCAAGATCAAGACCCCGTCTACTATAAATAGAAAGAAATTAATTAGCCAACTAATATATAGAGAAAAAATTAGCCGGGGCATGGTTGCCCACATGGGCCGTATAGCCCAGCACTCGGGAGGCCTGGAGGCAGGAGGATCGGCTTGATTCGCCAGGGAGTCTGAGGTTGCCTGTGAGCTAGGGCTGACGCACGGGCACTCACTCTAGGCCCAGACAACGAGAGTGAGAATCTGTGTCTCAAAAAAGAACAAGAAAAAAAAAAAGACTCAATGACCAGGATTCTCAGCGCGTCGACCCTCCGGTCGCAGAGGTAGGAGGGGAGAGGACTTCAGAGAGACTGGCGACGGCTCGCCGCATTAGACGGGCGAACAGTTTGTCGCGTGCTGGCGTGTTAGGCCAAGTGTGGCCCAACCTCTCTGAGCCTGTGTGTTTCGCCTGACGCGGCAAAGTGCTGGCCACTGACAGATGCGCGCCGCCCCCTTCCCCGGCTCTAGAAGCGGGCTCCTGTGGGTATCGAGCGCGGCTGTGGGGTGCAAGGTCTGGCAGAGGGCGACTTCTCGAGCAGCCGCAGCTGTGGGAGAGAGAAAAGCCGGTCGACGGGGTGAGGAGCCATCGGGGGGCCCGGGCTGGGGAGCCGTCCGTGTCCAGCGGGCCGAGGGTGCTCGGGCCCGCCGCCGTCCCCTGCGCCTGCCCCCGTCCCTCACCGCCCGCCTCCCTCCCGCAGAGGGCCTGCATCGACTTCGCCATCAGCCGCCAAGCCGCTGACGCGGCACATGCCCCAGGACAGGCAGAGCTTCCAGCTACCGCGCAGTGGGCAAGTTTGTGGTGCGCCGGGCCGCTTTGAGTGACACGCATCATGGCGCGCTAGATCGCCCGTCAACACGCATTCTGTGCTCATGATGAAGCGGTTAGGGCCCCCGCCCGCCCCGTTCCCGCCTCCCATGCAAAATGAGACCCAGACAGGCCCCCTTCCGTGTCGCCTCTGAGCCTTCGTTCCTGCTGTTCCCTCTGCCCCCCACACGGTTCCCTGGCCAGCTCCTCCTTCCCAGCTGTACCCGCAGAACGCTTCCTCCAGAAAGCCCTGCCCGAGCTCCCAAGCCCGCACCAGAGGCCTGTCTTTGCGAACATGACTAGCGTGTATCTCACCTGCCACACGATCGGGCCAGGCTGCACGGCAGGGTCCCCTACCGGCCCGCGAGCCCCGGGGAGCCAGACAAGTCCCGGCGCCCCTGGATTCCTGGGGTGCAGCGAGGGCCTGCCTCGGGACAAGAAGCCCTCGGTACATGCTTGATGAAGGAGGCGGGGTTGATGAGTGCTGTGAACTTCGGGGCTTTCTGGCTGCGAAGTCAGAGAACATTCCTTCCGCCCCGTGGTTTGGATCCCGCAAGCCTGGATTCAAGCCCAGCTCTGCCGTTTAACCCCCTGTGTAACCTTGCACAAGGGACCAGTGACTTCTTGGGGCCTCAGTTTCCCTGTCAATAAAATGGGAAATATAACAGCACTTCCTCTCCTAGTAGGAGGCTGATGAGGGTTGAAACTTCAGAAACACTCAATAAGCCCAGCCATTCGTTCTTTTTTTTTTTTTTTTTTTTTGAGACAGAGTCTCGCTTGTTGGCCCACGGCGAGTGAGTGCCGTGGCCGTCACCTAGACTGCACAAGCAACCTGCAGACTCCTGGGCTCGGAGTATCCTGCTGCCTTCAGCCTCCGCGAGTAGCTGGGACTACGCATGCGCCACATTTGCCGGCTAATTTTTTATATATATATTTTTTTTTTTTTTTTTTTTTTTTTTTTGGGTTGGCCAATTAATTTCTTTCTATTCCATATGTAGAAGACGGGGTCTCGCCTCCGGCAGGCTGGTTTTGAACTCCTGACCTTGAGCAATCCGCCCGCCTCGGCCTCCCAAGAGCTAGGATTACAGGCGTGAGCCACAGCGCCCGGCCAGCCATTCGTTCTTGAATGGCAAAAAAAGCCACCCCAGTTTTCGCCTAAAAACTCTTCTATGCAAGTTCTTTTCTTTTGTCTTTTCATTGTTATTATTCTGAACAGTTTCGAACAAACAGAAGAAGGATAGAAGCCAGGCACAGTGGCTCACACCTGTAATCCTAGCACTTTGGGAGGCTGAGGCGGGAGGATCAGTTGAGGTCAGGAGTTCGAGACCAGCCTGAGCAAGAGCGAGACCCCACCCCTACTTAGCCGGGTGTGGTCCCGCACACCTGTAGTCCCAGCTACTTGGGAGGCTGAGGCAGGAGGATCGCTTGAGCCTCGGAGTTGGAGGTTGCAATGAGCTATGACCACACCACTGCACTCCAATCTGGGTGACAGAGACCCTGTCTCTTAAAAACAAAAAAGAGCCCCATCAAGCCAGGCTGTCCCAGGAACGGGGATGCCAAGACAGGGCTCAGGAAGGGAGGCTCTTCGAAGACCGGGGCTTTCCGAGCTGTTCCTTGCACAGACGATATTGCCTGGGGCTGGGGGCGCAGTTATGTGTCCCGCCCCTGCCAGCTGGCCCCGCCACCTTTGCCCTTTCTTCTTCTAGTTCTACGGGGCCTCGCTGGCTTACGAAAACGCCCTGAGGGTGTTCAACATCGTGTTCACCTCCCTCTTCTCTCTGGAGTGCGTGCTGAAGGTCATGGCTTTCGGCATTCTGGTAAGGACAGCCGTGGGGCTACAGCGGCGGGCTGGGGGGCCACCCAGGGGCGCTGGGCGCTGGTCTCCCCACGTGGCCCCAAGACCCCCAACCCCAGTGGGGGGATGGGCATCCCGCCCATGGCCACAGGCCCCACTGAGGCACTCTTGTGCCTGCCAGGTAATACCAGCGACATCCGACACCTGAGTGTGACTGTGCACGGCGCTTGTTTGTTCAGTCATTCCTCGAAAGGATCTGATGGGTGGGAGCCGTTATGATTCATTTCAGAGATCAGGAAACTGAGAGTAAAGAGGCTAAGTCCAGTCCAACTGTTTTAACCACGATCCACAGTAGAAAAGACATTTTATGGCTGGGCGCGGTGGCTCATGCCTGCAACCCCAGCACTTTGGGAGGCTGAGGCAGGAGGATCGCTTGAGCCCAGGAGTTCGAGGCTGCAGTGAGCTGTGATCCCGCCACTGCACTCCAGCCCGGGTGAAAGAGCCAGACCCTGTCTCTAAAAACTAAATAAATAGGCCGGGCGCGGAGGCTCACACCTGTAATCAATCCTAGCACTCTGGGGGGCCGAGGCGGGCAGGATTGCTCAAGGTCAGGAGTTTGAAACCAGCCTGAGCAAGAGCGAGACGACCCCGTCTCTACTATAAATAGAAAGAAATTAATTGGCCAACTAAAAATATATATACAAAAAATGAGCCGGGCATGGTGGCGCATGCCTGTAGTCCCAGCTACTCGGGAGGCTGAGGCAGGAGGATCGCTTGAGCCCAGGAGTTTGAGGTTGCTGTGAGGAAGGCTGATGCCACGGCACTCACTCTAGCCTGGGCAACAAAGCGACACTCTGTCTCAAAAAATAAATAAATAAATAAATATATAAACTAAGTAAATAAATACAATTTTTAAAAATGTTAAGAATACATTTTACAGTGGATCCCAGGATGCATAGAGATAACCAAAATGAAATCTTCACGAAATCAGTTATCTACCCTTTTTGCATCTACCCTTTTTTCTCTGAAGTCGCCTGTTCTAGTTGATTCTGATTCTTTTTCTTTTAAATGCAGTTTGTGACCCATACTGGATTTTATCTCCCACCATGCAAGTGGTCTTAGCCTTTGAACACGAAAGGATCTGTGGATGGGGTACGGGGGTTCCCAAAATTAGATGTGAAAAAAATTACATCTTTTGGCAGGGTGCTGTAGCTCGAGCCTATAATTCCAGCACTCTGGGAGGCCGAGGCGGGAGGATTGCTCAAGGTCAGGAGTTCAAAACCAGCCTGAGCAAGAGCGAGACCCCATCTCTACTATAAATAGAAAGAAATTAATTGGCCAACTAATATATATAGAAAAAATTAGCCGGGCATGGTGGCTCATGCCTGTAGTCCCAGCTACTCGGGAGGCTGAGGCAGGAGGATCGCTTGAGCCCAGGAGTTTGAGGTTGCTGTGAGCGAGGCTGATGCCATGGCACTCACTCTAGCCTGGGCAACAAAGTGAGACACTGTTGCAAAAAAAAAATAAAAGACCAGCCTGAGCAAGAATCAGACCCTGTCTCTACTAAAAATAGAAAAATTAGTCTGGCATCGTGGCGTGCACCTGTAGTCCCCGATACTGGGGAGGCTGAGGCAGGAGGATCGCTTGAGCCCAGGAGTTTGAGGTTGCTGTGAGCTAGGCTGATGCCATGGCCCTCTAGCCTGGGCAACAGAGTGAGACTCTGTCTCAAAGACAAAATTGCATCTTTCTTTTTCACCCGCCACTAACTCAACTGTAGCATTTGCTCCCATGTCGAAGGCAGACGACAAACCCCCGCAGTATTATCAATACGACCCGTGTCACTAATAAAAGTCAGATATTTTCATACCACTCTGTAGGGCATTTCAGATACCTCGAAATTTAGCTCATGTTCATAATTGCTCCCAAATGCTGATGGTTATTAAATCTACAGCTAGACCTTGTTGTTTAGTGAGTTCATGAAGAAGTACATTAATTCTTAGATCTCCATATTTAAAAAGATTTGACAGCTATTTGAATATAACGGATCTTGCGATCGTGGCTGTTTCGTTTTCTGCACTTTTTGCGTTGGTAAGATTGACTCTCAGAAGGTCTCCCGCATGGCTGCGAGGTTCACAGCACACACACACAAAAAAAAGAAGGTGAGGGAGGCCTAAGCTAATGGATTTGGATTTGGGGTGACTGCAGTGACTTCTTGAAGGTCCCCGGCGGGTGGCCGAGCTCTCCTGACCGCCGCCTTTGTCCATGTCCCTGGAGAGGGTGGCCTGTGTCCTGGGGTCTCGGCTGGGGTCTCGGGAGCCTGGGTTCTGTCCCCGGCTCCCGGAGCTGGTTAAGGGCATTGGCTCTAGCACCACGGAGACCCAGGCTCGAGTCCCGCCTTGTCCTGGACGGACTTTGTCACGTCACCATCCTAAGAGGGACCCATCCCCCCATCGACCCCAGCAGAGCCCTTGTGAGCACCACACGCTCGAACGAGCCATCCAGAGAGTTGAGGATAAAACCCGGCTCGATAATTGTTAGTGCTAGGAAGGGTCCCAATAAATGTCATCGACCTACATTTGCTATTTCCTCCGAAGTGCAGCCATTGCTTTCTCATCGGAAGCACGAGGGAAGAATTCTTAAAATCGAATCCCAGATCCGACCTTCTAATGGCCACTTGGTTGGATGGGGGGGTCTCCAAATTCGTATTTTTAATGAGTGTTGGCCAGGCAGGGTGGCTTATGCCTGCAATCCCGGCACTTTGGGAGGCTAGGGCAGGAGGATCGCCTTGAGCTCAGGAGCTTGAGAATGAGCTGGACAGCACATACGTGGAGACGCCCGTCTCTACCAACAAAGGAAATTTTTTTTCTTAAAGTAGCCTGGGATGTCAAAAAAAACAGAGCATTAACACAACTAGAGCTGACGTGGCTTTATTTACACACCCAGGAGTTTGGGGATTTTTTAACACAGACATGCCACACCCTAGACCAGCACACGGACAGACAATATCCTTCCACTACTCCGGAATACCCACTACACACTCCGACCGAGCAATGAGTCCGACAGCCACAGGATAATTCCGCACAGTGAACTTTAAGCCGACAGCTGTGAAGCTTTTCTACATTCTCATTTATCCAAAATAAAATTGTGGCCGGGCGCCAGTGGGCTCACGCCTGTAATCCCCAGCACTCTGGGAGGCCGAGGTGGGGCAGATTGGGCTCCGAGGTCAGGAGTTGAACCAGCCTGGAGACAAGGACCAGACCCCGTCCTCTTACTATAAATAGAAAGAAATTAATTGGCCAACTAATATATATAAGATAAAGAAAATAAGAACACACAGGCTTCGGTGGGCGCATGACTGTAGTTCCCAGGCTACTTTGGGAGGAACTGGAGGCAAGGAGGATTTTTGAAGCCCAAGAGAGTTTGAGAGGTTGCTGAGAGCAGGCTGACGCCACGCACTCACTCTAAGCTCGCGGGACTACTAAAAATACTCTAAAAAATAAATAAAAAATAAAATTGTGAACAATTTAAAAATAACGTAAATGAAAACATATATTGGGCGCCCCCCCCTATCTGTTTACCTATTCTGATTGGACATTACAAAAAAAGGGGGTAAAGGCTGCCTGTAAAGTAATTAACAAGCTCTCAGTGGCTTTCAAGCTGTTCCCTCATCACACGAGAGCCAAAACGGACCTGTCGTTCAATTGCAGTCAGCCGCAACAGCTACCGGTGCGGGACTGTGAGTGCCGGCTGTGGGCGAGGTGTTGCAGCCGGTGAGCGCCACACCGAAGTGGTTAAAAACATTAAAATTAAAAAAGCACCTGTAATTCTAGCACTCTGGGAGGCTGAGGTGGGAGGATTGCTAGAGGCCAGGAGTTTGAGGCTGCAGTGAGCTGTGATGACGCCACTGCACTCCACTGCAGGTGACAGAGCAAGATCCTCTCCTCAAAAAAAAAAGAAAAGAAAAGAAAGAGCAGGTGTCCCCAGCACAGCCGGGGCTGTCCGACTGCCATGAGCCCCGGCCGATCACAGGAGGCACCGGGATTCCGAGCAAGAGCCCCGACTCAGCGCTCCGGGCTGGGCGTGCCACCTGTGGGCGTGTGACCCAGCCCGGGGCCCAGGACGTGCCGTGGGAAGAACTCAGGCTTTGCTGCACCCACGCCTGGGTGCAAATCTGCCTCAGCCCCTTTCCGGCTGTGTGGCCTCAAGCGAGTCCCTGGGCCTCTTTGCTCCTGTTTCCACCTGTGCAGGATTGGACGCGCCCAGCCTGCCGGGGCTGCGGGGAGCCGGGTCACGAAGTTAATTTTATTCCGAGTTGATCTTCCTTCCGCTGGTGAAGGGAAGTGATTCTTCTCCCAGGGCCTGGAGCTCTGTCTCCTTCGCCCCTGCCCATCCCACGGGGACCTGCACTGAGCTCCCCTTTTCAGTTTTAAACGAAGCCCCCGGTTCTCCAGGCGACATTCAGGACCTAGCGGGAAGCCCTTCTAAGGCTTGGCGCTCGAGGTCTGTGGCCAGACACCTAGAAGGTTGTGTTTGTTTGTGCTCCCCGAGATGCAGAGCCTGAGACAAGGATCGAGTGCAAGGAACGACGTATCTGGGAGGCAGGACGGTAGGGGAAGAGGGCAAATGAGGCAGGGACAGAAATGCAGCCAGGAAAGGGCATGTCACAAAGCCAGTTCCCACGGTGGGCAGTGGGAGTGCAGTTCCCCCGGGGACCTCCGGGAGGCAGCAGAGAGCACACGCAGCGTCCTCACTCCTGGGGGAGGAATCCGGGCACTGGTGCCCCAGGGCCCATCGGTGGGGTCAGGGTCTGTCCCCAGGGGAGCTGTGAATTCCCTGGTGAACGTGCAGCCAGGGAGAACAACGGCGTGCATCTGCTGAGCGCCTACTGTATACCAAATCCCGTGCTCGGTGGCCTCCCACTGAGGGGGAGGGCATCTGTGGGACCCAGACTGGGATCCGGGCAGGGGCGCCGGCCGCTGTGGGCCCCGACACTGGGGTAGTGTCACCTGCCTAAGGGCCACACGTCACCATTTCAACGCCGGGCGGAGGGCGAGGCAGGGACTGCAGGGGGCCTTGCCAGGCTGTGCCATTTAGCTGCAGCGTGGAGTGTTCCGTAGGTCAGTGCCGGTGTGTCCCGGCCCAGCGTGCACCGGTCAGCATAGGTCAAGCGAAGCCGCCGCAACAAGTAGCCCCACAGCTCGTCTCGGCCACATAAATCAGCAAAGGCTTTTTTTCTTTTCTTTTTTTTTTTTTTTTTTCGCTCAGCAGGGAGGGCTGGCTGTTTGCCTGGTGGACTCCACAGAGCAGCCGCCTTGCAGAACGGTGTAGTCACCCGGCCCGGGAATAGGGGAGTCGCGTCCTGGCCAGGAAGCGGCTCCTGTGCCTCTGTTCACAGCACAGCATCATCCCGACACACGTGGGGTCTGGGCCCTAGTCGCACGTGGTCCTGTGTGACCACGGGGTCCAGGAAGGCCCCAAGGCTCCTGCTCCAGGGCCCACTCTCTGCCCATTACTGTCCTCCTCCTCCAGCTCAGGACACAGAGGCACAGAGAGGTTAAGCCACTTGCCCACAGCCACACAGCTCTGGGGGCAGAGCTGGGATTCGAACCCAGAGACTCCTCTCTTGGCTGTCATCACAGTGGGGTCCTCAACACAGACTCTGGGCCCTCCCAGGCCTGGGTTCAAATCCTGGCTCTGCACCTCCGTGCTCCTGGCCTCCGGCGGGTGAGTGGCTTGGCTCTTCCAGTCCCGGGAAAAGGGTGACCGTCCTGCCCGGTGGGGTCTCCGCGACGATCCCAGCGATGTGTGCAAATCCTGGGGTCTCGGGGAGCCCCAGGAAGCACAGCGAGGCGTGCTGGGTGCTGAGCTGGGCTCCGTGCCCGCCGTGCGCCCTGGCGAGTCATGGGCGCAGGTGGGGACGTCCCAGAGAGGGGGGCTCAGAGCAGACGACGTCGAGCACCCCGCACTGTAGCATTTGGTGTTTGAACGGCCACAACCGTCCCGGGCACCCCGCCGATGGGCAGCTGTGCCCCGAACATGCCCGGGGCGGCCTGGGGGGCGGGCACTGAGCCCTCCGTCGGCATCTCTGTCTTGTGGGTCCTTCTTCTAGAACTATTTCCGAGATGCCTGGAACATCTTCGACTTTGTGACAGTTCTGGGCAGCATCACTGACATCCTCGTGACGGAGTTTGGGGTGAGTCTCCCGCGGGCTCCGTGCGGGCCTCGCCAGTGGGGGGCGGGGCGGGGCGGGGCGGGGGGGGGGGCGTGGGTCCTACGGCCGCCTCGGGCTCGGGCCGGCGCTTGGCCGAGACCAAAGAGGGAGAGCCAGGGCTCCCAGGGGCAAGGGCGTCCTCCGGGGTACCCCAAGCCCGGCTGTTGACTTACGAGTGAATGACGCACCCATGAGACACTTAAAGGCCCCCCCTAACCCCTGAGAGGTGGGGGCCCAGGCAGGAGCAGGTGCGGGGCAGTTCCGCTCGCGTTCACTGAGCCTCTCCGGTTCGTGGGCAGCGGGGCCCACAGCCGTCAGGCCAACGCGGGCGACACCACTCCCGGGGCCTTCGGAGGGTCCCAGGGTGCCCTCCCTCTGGTAACCCCAGGTCGGGGACACATGGAGGTCTCTGGACCTTCCTGCGGTGGCCCCACCGGCCACACTGTCCTTCTCCCCTTTTCCAGAAGACTCAGGGCCCTAGAATTCCTGTCCCAGATGCTGTCCTCGGCCAGTGGCCAGCAGCCCAGATATCAGGGTCCTCAGGAGATGGCTCGGAGGGGAGGAGACCCTCGTGGGGGGAGGAAAGGGCCCAGCACGGGGCGTCAGAGCCGAGGGACCGGCTGGTGTCAATGGCGTCTTAATAGCAATAGGAATAATAATGGCTGGCGAGGGTGGCAGCCTTGCCGTGTGCCCGGTTTGTGCCAAGCGCCTGGCGGGGACTGGCTCCTGGTCAGGGTCCTGGTGCAGAGAATAACTTCCCCGGAGGGCTCAGCGATGCGAATGCACAGACCACTCTCGCAGGGCAAGGACAGGGGACCCCCAAGCACGGCCAGGTGCCCGGCGACCAGCCAGCCGCCAGGGGAGCTGTCACCTGCCCAGGTGCTGAAGTCGGGAGGGAACCGGAGCAGGAGTGAGGCGGGGAGAGGCCGCCAGCGGGGAGCTACGGGCAGGCAGAGAACGGCAGGGGAGAAATACCTTTCTCCCCCCCCCCACCCCATCCTCCGTCTCCTGCCAGAGCCTCCCGTCGGCCAAGGTGACCAGAGGAAGCCGACGCGATGCTCAGAGCAGGCTGAGACGTGAGAAGAACAGATCGGGGTGGGGTGTTATCCCATTTCTCGGATGACAAAACTGACGCTCAGTGCTCCCGGGAGGTGAGGGACCCACCCAAGGTCACAAAGCCAGGTCAGGGCGACTCCCGAGGGCACATTGGCAGCTCCTAGGGTGCCCCAGTCTGGTCTCCCAGCAGAAAGCAATCAGTTTGCCCGCCCACTCTTCATTCTAGAAGGCCAGGGGACCTCCATTGTCGGATGCATCCCCCGAGACCCCACCCAAGTGGTATGGCGACCACACTTCTTCACCTTCAACTCCAGCCAGCCAGCAATTCCCCCTTCCCCTCACCGCGCTCCGGAAACTTCTCTCTGGAGGAGGCATGCCCACCTGGGGGCTGTCCCCACTGGGGTGTCCCCACCTGGCCACTCACCCCTGGCACAGGGCCCAGAGGCTGACTCGCATCTTCTGTCCTGAGTCTCTAGTGAGGCCTGGCGCTCCAGGTGGCAGTCAGAATGTCTTGCCATCCAGCTGAGTACAAGACACCCTTTGGGACAAGAGGGTAGAAGGGGTGGCCCTGGGCCCCAGCTGAGCAGGTGGGAGAAGTTGATTGAAACCTCCAATCACTGTAGAGCTGGACCCCAATAGCCTGTTCTCCTGGCTGGCAGGACAGGAAAGAGCAGGAGGATGAGGTATGAGGACCCGTTTAGGGCTATTAGGACTATTGCAGTAGCCAAACAGCCCTCCCCAGAAGCTGTTTGATCTTGGACAACAGCTTAGTCTAAGGCGGAGTGGGGAATAACTATTGCAACCAACCTCACTGGATCTTCACAAGACTCACATTCATGCAGGCACCCAATAGGCATATATTGAGCACCTGCTGTGTGCGGGGCATGGTTATAGGTGCTAAAGACAGAACAAGGGACAAAACGAAACAGACAGGTATGCAGGATGTTTGGCCGCTTAGGGCTGACTTTCCGGGGGTGGAGGGCAGGGAGACAGCAACTTTTTTTTTTATTTTTTTTGCAAATAAGAGCAATTGGCATGAAGTGCTTGGCACAGAACCTAACAGGAAATTAAGAATTCACACATAGCCGTTATTATTATTGCTATTGTTATTATTGCCATGATTGTATCTGGGTGTGTAGTTCATTAGCTGGTCCTGAATTATAGTCATTTTAATTAGGGAAAAGATAGCAGGTGGGTGGGTGGCCCCCCCCAGCAAGCAGGCAGTGACCCCTTTCTGTGCCCCAGGTAAGCCCACTGGGTCCAAGGCGGGGTCTCAGCCAAGCTGGGCCAGGGGAGGGCAGGTCCCCAGGGACTGGGGGGGCAGCAGAGGGCGTGGGGGCAGTAATTCCAGTGCCGCCTGTGGGCCTAAGCTGCCACCCCCCCCAAGTGGCTGGGGTGACGTGGGGTTGCCCTGTGTGCGACAGATAATGACTGTGTTTCTTGTCTTGTCTCTTTTCATGCCTGCTCTTAAAACTGTATATTGGCGCAACGCCGTCTGAAAAACTCATCCAATCAAAATGCACTATGAAATCCATTTGTTCATCCATGACGTGGTCTGTGTGTCCATGCACCAATGACTCCCAACCCACCGCCACCACCACCCCCACTCCCCGCCCGGGGAACCGAAACCCATTGGTTTTTTGGCACTGGTTACAAATCAACCTAAAAAACGCTGAACTCGCCTCCCCAACCGCCCCCGCCCGCCTGCTCCCCCTTCATCTTCAACATCTGCATCTAGAATCCGGTTGGTCTTACTTCTTTCTGAAGTCTAAATGCCTTACATTAACTGTGAACGCCCCCCCTCGCACTGGCACCGCATGCCACGCCCAGCCTTCCCCCCTGGGGCGTCTGCGCCCTCCCCACCCGCCCCTGCGTCTGTGCGTCCTCCCACCCCTTCTCCTTCCTGCAGACTCGCTCCCCCCTCCCTCCCTCTCTGTCTCTCCGCTGGTTGGTTTCTACCTTCTGCAGGGAGGGGAGGGTTATTCCTGGCAGCGCCTCCACCGGGATGACATGAGCGGGTTGGCCGTGCCCCTCGCCCCGTCCCACACTCGTGTCCCTGGCGCTCAGAGCCTGGGGAGGGACCCCGGCCCCAGCCACCTCCCAACACTCCCACTGTTTGGCTCCATGGAGGGGGGCCCCAGGAAAGCAGACAGACCCGTCCCTACCCGCTGCCCGCTCCCCTCTGCTGCCTTCGTGCCCGCCCAAGCCCGTGAGCTCTTGGGGCCTGAACGCAGAGACTTGACTCTTCCAGTCGACGCAGGAAGCCCCAGGCCAGGCCGCTTGCGGGCCGAGGCTCACGGCAACGGACTCGGTCTGGGGTCGTCAAGGGGGCTAGTGGCTGAGGCCTCTCCGGGAGCCCTGAACTGCACGTGCACGCCTGCCACACGCACGCACACACTGCCAGCGCACACACGGCCACTGCGCACACGGTCGCTGCATACACTGTCACTGTGCACACTGTCGGTGCACACACTGTCACAGCACACACGGTCACTGTGCACACTGTCGGTGCACACACTGTCACCGCACACAGGGTCACTGCATACACTGTCAGTGCACACACTGTCACTGCACACACGGTCACTGCGCACACGGCCACTGCGCACATGGTCACTGTGCACATAGTCACTGCACACAGTCACTGCACACACGGCCACTGCACACACTGTCGCTGCACACTGTCACTGCACACACGGCCACTGCACACACTGTCGCTGCACACTGTCACTGCACACACGGCCACTGCGCACATGGTCACTGCATACACTGTCAGTGGACACTGTCACCGCACACACGGCCACTGCACACACAGTCACTGCACACATGGTCGCTGCACACTGTCACTGCACACACAGCCACTGCACACACGGCCACTGCGCACATGGTCACTGCATACACTGTCACTGCACACTGTCACTGCACACACGGCCACTGCACACATGGTCACTGTGCACATAGTCACTGCACACACTGTCACTGCGCACACAGTCACTGCATACACTATCAGTGCACACAGTCACTGCACACACAGCCACTGCACACATGGTCACTGTGCACATAGTCACTGCACACACTGTCACTGCACACAGGTCCACTGCACACACTGTCAGTGCACACACAGCCACTGCCACACATGGTCACTGCACACATTGTCAGTGCACACAGGGCCACTGCACACACTGTCAGTGCACACACAGCCACTGCACACATAGCCACTGCCACACATGGTCACTGCACACATTGTCAGTGCACACATGAGCACTGTGCACACAGTCACTGCACATTGTCAGTGCACACAGGGCCACTGCACACATTGTCAGTGCACACATGAGCACTGTGCACACAGTCACTGCACATTGTCAGTGCACACAGGGCCACTGCACACATGGTCACTGCGCACACAGCCACTGCACACATTGTCAGTGCACACATGGCCACTGCACACATGGTCACTGTACACTCAGTCACTGCACACATTGTCAGTGCACACAGGGCCGCTGCACACATGGTCACTGTACACTCAGTCACTGCACACATTGTCAGTGCACATGCAGACACTGCACACACTGTGAGTGCACACACGGTCACTGTGCACACGGGCACCGCACACACAGTGCACACACAGTCACTGCACACAAAGTCGTTATACAGGTCCCCGTGTGCACACAGACACCACACACAGTCACTGCACACTGCCACTGCACAGTCACTGCATGTATAGCTGCTGCACACATAGTTCCTGCTCACACATGGCCACTGCACGAACACAGTCACTGCGCACACAGTCATTATAGTCACTGCACACACAGTCGTTACACAGTCACTGCATGCAGTCACCACGCACAGTGCACACACGGCCACTGCACACAGTCACTGAGCACACAGTCATTACATACAGCCACTGAGCACATATAGTCCCTGCACACACAGTTATGACAGTCACTGCACATGCAGTCACTGCACACACACAGTCACCACATACACACGGTCACCCCACACGGCCCTGGCACACAGTCATGACTTTCATTCTTTCTTGTTTGTCTCTGACTCTTTCTCTCCTCTCTGGCTCCCCACACCCCACGGCCCACACACGCACAGACACTGTCCTCCTCCGTCACACCCACCCAGCCCCAAAGGCGACCCCCAGCCCAGCACGCTGCGCACACATCCCTCCCCCCACTTCTCAGCTCCTGCACACCCTCACGCCCACCGATGACATCTGTGAAAGACCCCAGAGGCATGGTCCTCCCCTGCTGGGGTCCCTCCCCTGCTGGCGTCACACGGGCACTCACCCACCAAACATTTAAGGAGCCCTATTCGGTGCCATGACGGAGTGGTGAGCACTGTCCCCTCCCCCCACCTACAGCCAGGTGGGTGAAGCAGGCATTGGCCAAATAGCCCCTTGACTCCACTCGGAGCAGCGTGGCAGGGGCTGGGGTGCAGGTGGGCGCCGGGAATGGCAGCGAGAGGTGATGGCAGAGGAAGGGAGCAGTGGGCAAGTGGCTACCAGGGCTGCTGGGGTGAGAGGTGCCCAGTGACCGGGACACTCGGGTCTGGCTTAAAGTCAGGAGAGGGACAGTAGGGGGTGCCAGGGAAGGGCCTGGTTGCGGGGCAGAGAACAAGTGTGGGTGAGGTTTAGATGCCTTCAGGACACCCCGAAAGAAGTCAGGTCGCTGGGCGGTTACGGGGCTGGAGCTGACGAGCGAAGTCCGGCTGCAGGCAGCGTCCTCGAGGCAGGACTCTCTGGAGCCTGTGGCTGGGTGGTCTCCACGTCCTTCTGGGCACTTGAGGGACACCTGCCCCTGAGCATGGCACTGGAGGAGAGAGGACCCCAAAGAAGCTGTCCCCACGCCTCCCTGGGCCTGTGTCCAGGCCCCCTTCTCGCTCCAGCCGGGGACAAAGCACAGGAGAGGAAGCTGCCCCTCCCAGGCTGCGGGTGGAGAGCCCGAAGCGAGGGACAGGGGACTCCTCGGACGTGCCATGGGCACAGGCACTGGGAGAGGTGGCGGGGTGGGTGACAGCAGACTAGCACCTGGACCCCTCCCCTCCCCGCCCCACCTCCCTCGTGTGTCTCCTCCCTCCCTCCCTCACTCACTCCCTCCCTCGCTCTGAAGGCTGCACGTTCTCTGCACGCCCCTGCCAGCCCTGCCTCCCGCATGCGCATGCGCGGCTTGCTCGCCCGCCCCGCCCCCAGGCTGCTCTCAGGGCCCGCCTGCCTTGCATGCCTGGCCACCCCTCGTGTTATGACTCGCCCCATGGAAGGGATGGCTTGTACGCTGGGGATGGACGGGAGGGGCCGGGCACACCTGAGCCATCGGCCCCATGCCCTGGTAGAGCTGGGTGGCCAGGCAGGGATGGGGGTCAGGTCAGTGGGACACGGAGGGCCACTCTCTGAGCCAAGCAGGGTGCGGGGGCTTGTTTGAAGCGCTTGGGACATTCTCACGGTGGTTGAGGTCAGCTGGACAGAGTAGAAACCCCCAGCCCACGACCCCATCCTGGAGGCCTAAGGACCCACTTGCCTCCCAGACATTGTCGCCAGCAGACCCAGAGGCCTCTTGCCGGCCTCAGGAATCTCTTGAATCCCAGCCCCTGGTCTCGACTCCCAGGCCAGAGCTGGCACGAGACACAGACCTGGTGGCCGGGAAGCCCTCCGAGCCCTCCACGTAGGATGTCCTTATCACTCGCCACCCAAACTGGGAGACTTTTGAAAGTGGGAGGGACGCTGTGACTGTGTGGTCACCCTGCGCCATCTAGGGGGCGGGGACCGGGCCACGTTAAATCGTGTCACGTGGCCTGTATCTGGGATTCCCACAAATCCACCGGGCAGAGCCGGCTCAGGGCGACCGTGTGCTCCTCCCGCCTCCACCCCTCCCTACCGGCCAATGAGGCAGGGCCTCAAACCCACATGCCTCTGGGGCCCGAGCAGACACCAGTAAACTGGGAAAGCAGGTGCCATTTCTAGAACCGGAGGACCTTGGAAAACTCGAGAACACATGGCCTGCTTCCAGGGGGCAGTCACAGCAGGCCTAGGATTGCCAGAAAGCCAGATGGGTGGGCAGAATCTCATGGTTATTAAACAATGGCAACAATTTTTAATTAAAAACAAACAAAAGCCAAAAAAACACTGCTCAGGCCCTACCACTCAGCTTTGTCGGCAGCCAGATTTGGTCCGTTTGTGACTTCTAGCCTCCCAGCCTTCACCACGGTCCCCTGAAGCCCCAGGATGGTCACATAATGGTGGCAGCCTATGCCCCAAATCTCTCTACCACCATGCCATCTGTCAAGTCCCTTTCTTCTAGCTTGTTCTAGCTTGGGTGGGAGGAGGTAGAGGCAGTGACTAGACAGGGGGGCTTGGAGCAGAGACAGAGGCCACCCAGGGAGGTCCTGGGGGCAGGGATGGCCCCACCTCCCCGCCCCCAGCACCTGCCCCTCGGTGGGCCCGGGCTTATTCTGAACTCACCCACCCACGGGAGCTGAGTACTTCCTGCTTCCTGCAGGCCTGTGCTACTCCGCCCAGCCCCAGAAGCTGAGAAGCCATCCCTGAGAGGGGGGAAAAGGGCCCCAAATGCATCTTCTCCGACTCAGCGGGCAGCGAGGACTCACCCTGCAGCCGAACAGCCCCAGCTCCCTCCCGTCCTCCCCATTCCCGCTCGCCAAGGGGGTAAGAAAAGATGCTCTTCACTTCTCCCGATTGGCTCGAGCCGCTGCTCCTCTTGGCCGTGGGGTGAGGTCAGGGCGGGCAGGAGCGGGTGGGCAGCTCGGCAGGGCAGGGCAGGGCAGGGTGCCCGGTGAGTCCCGTGACAGATGCATTTCTGGCCCGGAGCGTAACATGCCCTCGGAACCCGCACACGCCCACCAGGCCTGAGCGCGCTGGCCACCCCACCCCCACCCCCGTGTTTGTGCATCGTACACGTGTGATGGATTCCGCAACTTGACCCGCTTGTGTCCTATCGTCTCAGTGCATTTGGTTGTTGGGAGAAACAAAAACCATCTCGATTTTTTTCCTGATTGGATGATTCGGATATATTTTCTTTTACTTGTTCTTTTGTTATTTCTTCCCCACCCCCTTCCTTTTTCCTTCCTTTTTCTTTCCTTCTCCTCATTGTGGGTGGGGCTGGCAGGGAGGGTTTATGCTTTTGAGTTAATGCCTTTTGCCCCCTCCCACCCTCTCTCTCCCTGATTTTGTTCCTTTTTCGAGTTTTTCCTCTGCACCATTGCATTAATAGTGCTTTCTCTCCTCTCCCTCCTTATTTGGGGTCTGGCTTGCTTTTTTCCTATTGGTTGGCTTCATGTAGGGGCCTCTGTGAGTGGTGACGGCTCTGAGCCCCTCGGGGTGGGTGGATAGTCACCCCTTTTCCTCCGTCTCCCCAGAATAACTTCATCAACCTGAGCTTTCTCCGCCTCTTCCGAGCTGCCCGGCTCATCAAACTCCTCCGCCAGGGTTACACCATTCGCATTCTCCTCTGGACCTTCGTGCAGTCCTTCAAGGTGAGCCCCTGCCCCTGCCGCTGGCGCAGGGCTGAGAAGCACAGCAGACCTCCGCGCTCTGGCTGCGTGTATTAATGGGAGTCAGGCCGGAAGTGCCTCTGTGAGGCTCCATTTTGCAGAGAATCTGTTATCTGCAGGGCTCTTGTCTAACTTCTGCCCCTGGTGTGTCTTCAGAGTTTTAAGGGCCTCACCCCAGGGCTGCCAGAGATGCCCGCCAGCCCTGGCAGGACGCTGGCACAGCATGTGGCCACCAAGCCCAGTGGGGCGGGACACAGTGCGGCTAAGGGGCGCCCAGCACGCGTCTTCATTGCCTTCCTCCCCACCAGGCCCTGCCGTACGTCTGTCTGCTGATTGCCATGCTGTTCTTCATCTACGCCATCATCGGGATGCAGGTGAGTGCGGGCAGCCCCTCCGGTGCCCGGAGCCTCCCAAGGAGGGCAGCCGTCCTCAGGCAGGGGTGGGTCAGGAGAGCCTGGTTCAGAGAGGCAGCCATGGAGGTTGACCTGGGTTTCCAAGAAGTTATCCAGGGCCTGGCCCTCACCCTCCAATTCCCCAGGTGTTTGGCAACATCGGCATCGACGTGGAGGACGAGGACAGTGACGAAGATGAGTTCCAAATCACTGAGCACAATAACTTCCGGACCTTCTTCCAGGCCCTCATGCTTCTCTTCCGGTGAGAGGGGGCGTGCCCTTATTATTTTCTTCCAATAGGGAGCGTGGTATCCACCTCTTCCGGTGGGGGGCGTGCCCTCATCCTTTTGTTCCAATAGGGCGTGTGTTCTCCTCCTCCTCTTCCAATAGGGGGCGTGCTGTCCGCCTCTTCCGGTGGGGGGCGTGCCCTCATACTTTTGTTCCAATAGGGCGTGTGTTCTCCTCCTCCTCTTCCGGTAGGGGGCGTGCCTCCACCTGTGGGGGCATGCCCTTCTCCGTCTCTTCCGGCAGAGGGCGTGCCCTCGTCTTCCGGTTGGGGGGCACTCTCATATTTCTTTCCCAATGGGACTTGGGATGGGCGATCAGGACACAGGTATCCTGTTAGGGAAGAAGCTGAAGGCCCTGGGACACAATCATGGAAGGCATTTTCTAGGCATTATCTCCTTGAATCCTCCTGACCACGCTGAGAGGCGGGGATTCCTAGCAGCCCCATCTGACAGATGAGAAAACTGAGGCTTCTAGACGATGAGACTTGATTCTTCGGTTTTTCATCCTAGCTGCATATTAGAATTCCTTCACTCATTCATCGGAGCTTTACTCAACACCTGCTCTGTGCCGGGCACTGCTGCAGAAACTAGGACAAGCCAGGCACAGTGGCTCACGCTTGTAATCCCAGTGAAGGGGGAGGCTGAGGTGGGAGGATCGCTTGAGCTCAGAAGCTTGAGGCTGCAGTGAGCTGTGATTACGCCACTGCTGTCCAGCCTGGGTGACAGAGTGAAACCCCATCAACACGCACATACCCCAGGATAAAGCAAGAAACAAAGCAACAGAAAAGAGATATTTTCTGCCCTTTGGAAGCTATATTCCCTTGGGGAAGGCAATCGGTAAGCAAATTATAAAGGATACTGGAAGAGGGTAAAATTCAAGATTAAGAGGAAACAGAGGCACAAAAGGACGAATCTGTATAGTGCCATTTATGTGAGGTCCTAGAGTGGACAAATTCACTGAGACAGAAAGTGGGATAGAGCTTGCCAAGGGGGAATGGGGTTGGTGTTTAATGGGTGCAGAGTTTCTGCTGGGATGATGAAAAACTTCTGGAGGTGGATAGGGGTGATGGTGGCACGATGATGCGAGTGTACCTAAAGCCACCACATTGCATGCTTCAAAATGGTTAAAATGATAAACTTCATACTATGTATATTTTGGCACAATAAAAAAATATTTTTAATCTAACAACAAGAAGAAAAAGAACAGAGAGAGGGCCGGGTGTGGTGGCTCACGCCTGTAATCCTAGCACTCTGGGAGGCCGAGGCTCGTGGATTGCTCAAGGTCAGGGGTCAAAACACAGCCTGAGCAAGAGCGAGACCCCATCTCTACTATAAATACGAAAGAAATTAATTGGCCACTAACTATATAATAGAAAAATTAGCCGGCATGGTGGCGCATGCCTGTAGTCCCAGCTACTCGGAGGCTGAGGCAGGAGGATCGCTTGAGCCCAGGAGTTGGAGGTTGCTGTGAGCTAGGCTGACGCTATGGCACTCACTGTAGCCTGGGCAACAGAGTGAGACTCTGTCTCAAAAAAAAAAAAAAAAAGAACAGAGAGAGGGTCAGTAGGTCGAGCCTCTCTGGAAGTGTGACATTTGAGAGACATTGGTAGGGAAGGCGCCCACATGGCTATCTGGGGAAGTGTCGGCCAGGCAGAGGGAACAGCCAGTGCACAGGCCCTGGGGCAGGACCGTGGCTGGCATGTTTGAGGGCAGCAAGGAGCCCAGCATGCCTGAGCAGTGTAAGCCGGGCAGAACATAGTAAGAGGTGACAATCACCTGCAAAGAGGGGTGCTTTTTAAAACACACCAATGTCCCCAGGCCCCACCCTAGACCGAATGAATCCAAGTCGCCAGGGTCGGGCATTGGCATTAGCAATTTTTCAAAGCTCCCCATGGGCTTCAGTGCACAGCAAAGGGTAAGAATTCCCCTCTGGGCTCCCAGAAAAAGGAGGTGGTCTCGAACCGGGGCCTCGAACACCTGCCTGTCCAACTCCAGAGCCCAAGTGCTTAACCTGTGCGCTTTACCTCCCTGGGAGGCACTGGTGTCCAGTCAGAGCTGGGTGCCTTGGTCCCTAATGCCACCTCCCTGTCCCCAGGAGTGCCACCGGAGAAGCCTGGCACAACATCATGCTTTCCTGCCTCAGTGGGAAGCCATGTGATAAGAACTCTGGCATCCTGACTCGGGAGTGTGGCAATGAATTTGCCTATTTTTACTTCGTTTCCTTCATCTTCCTCTGCTCATTTCTGGTGAGTCTGGCCACAGGGGGATGTGGAGGGGTCCCTAGACCTGGCCCCCTCTCAGAGGAGCGGGTTTCTCTACGCAGGGTGTTGTGGCTCCTGTGTGTAATCCTAACACTTTGGGAGGTTGAGATGGGAGGATCGCTTGAGGCCAGGAGTTCGAGGCCAGCCTGGGCAACATAGCAAGACCCCATCTCTACGAAAAATGTCAAAGTTAGTTAGGTGTGGTGGCATGCACCTGTAGTCCCAGCTACTCGGGAGGCTGAGACAGGAGGATTGCTTGAACCCAGGAGTTCGAGGCTGCAGTGAGCTATGATCATGCCAGTACACTCCCGAATGCATGACAGAGTGAGACCCTGTCTCTACAAAAAAGAAAGGAAAAACATAGAATGTGGCTATGTAGAGGATTCATTCCCTCCAAGAGTCAGCCTGGGGTTAAGTGAACCGAAGTTTCTCAGCCTCAGCACCACTGATGTTTGGGGCTGGATCGTAGTCTGCAGCAGGGGCCGTCCCCTCGCTGTGCAGTGTGCAGCAGCGACCCTGGCCTCCACCCACACGCCGCCCCTTCCCCCAGCTGTGACAACCAGAACTGTCTGCAGTCATTGCCAGACGTCCCCTGGGAAAAGCCACACTCTCCCCGCTTTGAGACCAAGTGAAATATGTCACTTTGGCCTTGTTGGGACAGGCATAGGCAGGGGAGGATTTGGGGTCATGGTGGTCCCCTTGGTGTTGCCCCCATTTCCCAAGCCTCCCCTCCTCTCCCTCTGCCTCTGTTTCTTTCCGTCACCCTTGGTCTCCACCTCTTTGTATCTCTCTGTCTCTGTCTCTCTCTGGGCCTCCTTGTGTGAGTGTGTGTCTCTCCTCTGTCCCCCATCTCTGTCCCTCTCTGTCTCCCTCCCTCTCCCTCCTGGCCTCTGTGTCTTGGTCTCTCTTGCCTTCCCCACCCCCACTCTCTCTCTCGGTCCCCCGGGGTCCCCGCAGATGCTGAACCTCTTTGTCGCCGTCATCATGGACAATTTCGAGTACCTCACCCGAGACTCCTCCATCCTGGGCCCCCACCACCTGGACGAGTACGTGCGTGTCTGGGCCGAGTATGACCCCGCGGCTTGGTAAGGAGCCACCCCGAATCTTCCAGACACGAACGCCCGCCTCTCCCTGGAGCCAGAACACGGGCTAGGTCAGGCCTCAGGCCCCGGGGCGCTGGGTCCCTGGCGTCCCAGCAGGGATCTCACGGAGGGCAGTCTGGAAGAGAGAGATGCGATTACAACCCTCACGCACCCCGGGTTAAGCACTTGGGGTGCCACTCCCGACTCTCTGGGCAATGAGAAAGGAAGTCACCACGAGCAGCTCTGCAGAGCCCTGTCCTCCCACCAGTCCCTCCTGTCTCTCACTGTGAAGCGTCAGATGGTGAAGACAGGTTAGCCAGACCCCAGGGAGGCGGCCGGAGCCCTCTCTGCCTCAGTTCTCCTGGAGTGCGGCAGCGGGGCTGGCCCGCCCCTGGCGGGTGGGGTTGGCTGCAAGATCAGAGTGGCAGATCAGAGTGGCCCCCACTGGGACCCATGGACCTTGGGGTGGGTGGTTGCCCAAGCCAGGGCAGGACACAGGGCTGCAGTGGCCCTTGCATCGTCATGGCCACGAAGGGATTTGAGCTCTCCCGTCTCGGCAGCCACCAGAGCACCCCCTTCTGGCCGACGAGTGATGGTGCAGGGTACCGGCTGCCTCTCGTGCGTGTGTACTGAGTGCCCCATCAGCACCAAGCCCCTAAGGCCACTCGGAGGCACCGCGTGGGGGCCCAGAGCCCACTAAGCACTAACTGAGGATTCTAGCTGGGGCTGGGCTTTGGGCCTGAAGGCGCATGACTTGGGGGCCCTCAGCAGCCTGAACCCCGTCTTCCTCTGGTGTCCGCACTGCAGGAGACGCCTCACGGGGAAGGCAGGGAAAGGTCCGACTTCCACTCCCGATGCCCCAGGCGAGTCTCCCGTGAGACCAGCAGCCTGGGGCGCACCACGGGGCCGGGCTTGACTTTTGGCTGGTTCCTAACTCTTCCTCTTTTGATTCTAGGTCACAGCAGTTGGATGCTGTCCCCCTGCCCTCTATTCCACGAGCCCCCCAGTGTAGCCCCTGTAAATTGTGGAGGAGGCAGGTGCAGACAGAGCCCCGGGGAGGTGCCCCCAGTTCAGAGCTCCCTGCAGGCCCGGGTCTGCGAGTGTCTGGGAGTGTCTTGGGGACCTCCACTCGTCCCAGATCTCTGCTACTCCTCACAGCCAGGGGGACCCTATCCTTCGGCATCATAACCTCACCGTTATGCCCGGGGAGCCGGTGTCAACACAGCTGTACCCCACGCCTCCACTAACCCGGTCTCTTCTCCTTTCAGCGGTCGCATTCATTATAAGGATATGTACAGTTTATTGCGAGTAATATCTCCCCCTCTCGGCTTAGGCAAGAAATGTCCTCATAGGGTTGCTTGCAAGGTTTGATATCCACTAAAACCTGCTAGCATCCATGGAATGAGTGTGGCTTGGGGTTCTCCAATATATATATTTCATATATATATATAAATCTCTAAAGAAACGGAGCCATCTCTTTCTCTTGCATTAAACTAGAAAACTCTCTTAGCCAACAGAATGCAGTCATGTAGACTCGATGAAGCATGGAACATGTTTCTTCCCCCCCTCCAGCCTTCAGCCGTCTCTGCTTGCTCTTAGCTGAAGCTGCTCATCCCGGGGTCTCAACGGCACCCCGAATCAGACACATCCCCCCGGGGGGATCGTAACTTGGCATTGAGCCCCACCCCACATCACCTCCACTCTCTCCCCGCCTCCCCCTCGCCTCCCAAAGCCCCCAGCCCTCCCCCACACCCTCCCCCGCCCCGGCCCCTCCCCCCCACCTAGGCCCCCTCAGAGACCAGCCTCAGCCACACCAATGACCTTGACCCAGCTCTGGAAATGCCCGTGACCCCAAGCACGGCTCCCGGTCCTCCAAAGCCAGAGCCCCCAGAACGGCCCTTCCTCCGCACGCCACCCCGGGGCCACGGCCCGGAGTCCAAGTTCAATCTGACTTCTCTCTTCTCTCTCTCTCTCCCCCTCTGCTCCTGAGCAGTAAAATAATCTTTTTTTTTAATTGCCTTTTCTTCCATTTTTTTCCTCCTCTTTTCCATTTATTTGAAATAATCTTTTTTATTGTTCTCTGCATCTTTCTCTCTCTATTTTTTCGGCCCGTCTGGTTTCCTTTTTTTTTTTTTTTTCCTTCTTTTTCTGCTCCTCTTTTCTTCTGTTTTTTTCCCCCCCACCTCCCTTCCTTTGGTTCTCTGTGCCTTTTTTTTTTTTGTTTTTTGTTTTTTGTTTTTCTTGTTTTGTTTTGTTTTCGGTGCTGCCAGGGGCCGCATGCCTTACCCGGACATGTATCAGATGCTGAGACACATGTCTCCGCCCCTGGGTCTGGGGAAGAAGTGTCCGGCCAGAGTGGCTTACAAGGTAGTCTACCCTTGCCGACCACCAACGTCCAGGTGCCGGGGACATTTTTTTTTTCTTCTTAGTGCTGACCAGAAACACCCAGCCGAGTCTCTTTTTCCAACGTTTCTCTTCTCTTCTTCTTCTTCTTCTTTTTTTTTTTTTCCTTTCCTCCCTGAGTAAATGAATCATGCCCATTCCTTAACTCTACGCAGCACACTGTGTCCGTCCTTTCTGATGAGTGTCTTCGTGTTTTGAGACTCCATTATGGCCGCCATGCTGGGGGAGGGGGAAGGGAGTGCCCAGCCCCCACACCTGGTCCCCAAATTGGACACGAACGCGCTCCTTCGGGGAGTCACAACCGCGCCTCCCTTCTGCCCGCCCAGAGGGGCCCCCACGCCCAGGCCTTGCCTTTGGCACCTCGAGTCCCCGGGTCCTTGTCCCCTACACGCACCTGAAGCTGATCTCTGACCTAGGGCCTTGGGGGACTCTGAGACCCCCCCCCGAGGAGCACCCAGTGCCTCCCCTCCCCTCCCCTCCTCCCCTGGAGTTGCTTTCCCGCCACCCACCCGTCCCCGCCGCCCCGAGACACCCCAACATGCCTCTCCATCGTTCCAGAGCGGGCAGGCGGGCGCAGCGGGAGCCCTGGACCGTGGCACGCGGACGCAGGCCATGCACGCTGCCTTGGCGGGGGCTGGGGGCGGCACCCGGCGACCGGGCGGTGCATGCTGGCTGAGGGGCCAGGGTCCTGCCGCCAGGCGGCCACCCCGCCCCTCCAGACCCCGTCCCGGAATCTCCCTTGGCGCCCAAGGACAGACGCTCTGTTCCCTCAACTCGCCCGTGAGAGGTCCAGGGACGACCTTTGGAGAGTCCCCTCGCCCCTAAACAGTCCCCAATCACCCCGTTCTCCCGCCCGCCGCCTCCTCCCCTGTGTCTCTGTCCGTCCGCCCTGTCCCTCCACTTCCCTCACCTGGGCGCCAGGCCACCCTGCCCTGAACCCGTCCCTCCCCCATCAGGCTTTCCTCTTGTCCCTTCTCTTGTCACTCTGCCTAGCTGAGTGTGAGAGTGTGTGTGTGTGCAAGAGAGGGAGGAAGACCCCGTCCCCTCCTGGTCTCTGCAGGGCCACCGTGGGGTCATAAAGTGCCTTCATGCAAATTCGTGTCAACCGAAAAAACCCAAACTCTGTAAAATAATTTTAAAGAGATTTGTTCTGAGCCAAATTTGAGGACCATGACCCGGAGCCACTGCCAAGGGGCCTTGGGCAAGTGGACTCGCCGTGGCTGGGTTACAGTTCAGTTTTATACATTTTCAGAGAGACGGGTTACAGGCAAAGTCACAAATCAATACATGAGAGGCAGACATTGATTTGGACCAAAAAGGTGGGACATCTCGAAGCGGGGGCTTACAGGTTATAGGTGGGTTTAAGATTTTGGCTGGCAATTGGCTGAGAGAGTTAGACTTCATCTAGAAGACCAGAAAGGATATGCTTACTTTAAGACAAGGGTGTGAGCACTCTGGGAGGTCCAGACAGGAGGACGTTTCAAATTTACAATAGGCTCCTGCTAGGATGCTTTAAGATATTTTAAATTTATGATAGGCATCTGCTAGGATGCTTGAGTTAAGACGGGCTCTTATCTTTTAGGTCATGTTAACGCCATACCAGAATCGGGTTGGGAAGCAAACCACCCCACTTAGTGGGAATTTGTCAGCCTGACCCAACTGGCCTCCTTAGGAAGGAGTTTTTAGCAAAAGAAAAAGATCAGAGTTCAGTCCTCATTCAAAAAGGCCCCCTTTTTACAGACCACTTTGTCTGTTGGGAAAATTTTATGATTTACTTAAGTGGTGAGAACGAGACGCTTTTCTGCTGTCAGCAGAGAAACTGTCGTATTAAATACACAGATATGTGTAATTTCCAAGGTGGGGAGCCCTTTGTGCAGTGCACAACCTGCACAGCTGTGCACAGCGGCCCAGTGCATGTGTGTTTTTGTGTGTGGGTGCGTGTGTGTGTGGGTGTGTGTGTTCCTCTCGCTCTCTCCCACGTCCTTCCCCACCCTGCCCCAAGCCCCCCCACACATGTCCCACTCTAGGTTTACCATCCCCCTTCCCACCTCCAGCCCTGTGTTTCCTGCCGATGTGTGTCTGAATCCCGCCAGACCTGCCCTTTTCCGCAGTCCCTGTGCCACCTCAGCCCAGCCCAGCATCCTCTCTCCCATGCCACCAAGCACAGTGGACAGAGCCCCTGCCTGGGACATGGGGAATCTTGTCCTCGCTGGGCCACAGGAATGTCACCCCTCCCCCTGCCATTGCACAGAGAGCCAAGCCCCGGACATGCCCCTGAGATACACTCCCACGGAGCTATGAATGAGTCTCGAGATTCCGTCTGCATGTGCCTGTCTGTGCCTTCTGTGTGTCGCGGCTCGCTGCATGCCCGCCAGGGGCCTGGCCCGCCCGCAGGGGCCGCCTGCCTGCCGCTTCTCGGAGGAATGGCGCGGTCTGTGCCCGCCTGGTCTGTCCCGGGCTGGGGTGAGGGCCGCAGCCCCACCCCACCGGCAGCTGTGGCCGTGCCCGCTGCCTGGCTGCTGCACGCGCTGCTGGGGTCTGCTTGCGCTCTTTTTCTTTGGGGTCAGAACAGAATGGAGCCTTCTGGAAGAACTCTGGGGCAGGGCGAGGGTTGGACTGAACCCCCTGGACGTGCCAGCTCCAGGGTCCCGAGGGTGGGAGGAGAAAGGGGCTTGGGAGCCCTGGAGAGCCCCCGGCGGCCTCCCTGCGGGCCGCCAAGGGAAATAAGGGGATCGAATCCCGGGACAGGTGACCTGAGAGTGGGGACGCTTCCGCCACCGCCGCCTTCAGAGTTCTTCCTGGGCGCCCTGGGTGGGGCAGGTGGGGCTCACAGGCCGGGAGGGGAGCCGGGAGTGACTGCCCTCCCTTGGGTTCCTGTAGAGGCTCCTGCGGATGGACCTGCCTGTTGCAGACGACAACACCGTCCACTTCAACTCCACCCTCATGGCTCTGATCCGCACGGCCCTGGACATCAAGATAGCCAAGGGTAAGGACGGGCGCAGGCAGCACAGGCGGAGGGAGCCGGAGCCTGGGGCAGGAAGCAGGGTGCGGCCAGGGACTCCCGCTCTGCCACCAAAGCCAGGGGAGCCGCTGTCCCTGTCCTGACCCTCAGCCACTGCCCCCCTCGCTCGGCAAACATTGAGTGCATGCCTCCCCTCTAAGCATGGGGGACCCGGCGGCTTACACGCACGGTGGCAGCAGGGCGAGGGGTCCTCCACTAGGGAGGTGCCGGGGTGAGTCACGTGGATACCTGGGGGGAAGGTGCCCAGGCAGCGGGTCCAGCAGGTGCAAAGGCCCTGGGGCAGGGGCGAGCCGAGTGAGCGAGGGGCGCCTGATCACCGAGTCAAACTCACCGGCCCTCTCAGCGAGGGGCGCTTTGCGGCATCCAAAGCAAGAGGGTCCCTCCGGCCACCGTGGGGCTGACAGACTGGGAAGACGCCAGGTTGGGGGCCGCTGACTCCATCCAGGTGGAGGCGGAGAGCGTAGGGAGGGTTCAGACTCTGGTGTTCCCTGAGGCCGAGCCAGCGGGATGGCTGACAGATGGGGTGTGGGGCTGGGGCTCCCAGAGGGCAGAGCTGCCACGTCCCGAATTGGGGACCAGGCAGGAGGGCCAGATCGGGGACAAAGTGCAGATGGACATTGGCTGCAGAACATGGACACCGGGAGCTGGAAGGGGCTTTGGGGACGGGAAGGGACAGGGCATGAGATGCTGACAGATTTCAAGCCGGGAGGCCGGACGGGCTCTCCGGGGCATGCGTGGAGACCGAGAGACCCCCAGAGACAGAGCCGGGGGCTCACGCTCATGGTTACAGGGGACACGGAAGGCGAGGCTGGGGAGGCAGGTCGCGACCTGGGCCCCGGGGGCTCCTGGAGGCTGGGGGGCGACTTCGGGGGGAAGGGGACCGGCTGTGTCAGGCACTGCCCAGAGGTGGCCAAGGATGCTGAGGACTGCAGGTGACTGGCCATCGTGGTCACCTTGGCCAGGGAAGCTTAGGGGAGGGGCCAGGCCCTGTGCCTGCAGTGGCTTTGGGAGCCCCGAGAGCGGGCATGATGTGGCTCAGTGGCGGGCGGGACCGAGGGCAGAGAGGGGCTCAGAGCGCCAAAGGAAATGGGACAGAAGAAGGGAGCTGGGAGAGGACCCAGGTGGATGCTCCTTCCAGGGTCCTGGGGGGAAAGGGGGAGGATGGGCCGAGGCCACGGGGCACGACTGGGGAGGAAGTGGCGGGAAAGGCAGGGGTGGCATGGGTTGGAGGGAAGATGTTCATGCCAAGAAACAGACAGGGGGCCGGGCGCCGTGGCTCACGCCTGTAATCCCAGCACTCTGGGAGGCCGAGGCGGGCGGATTGCTCGAGGTCAGGAGTTCGAGAGCTAATCTGAGGCAAGATCAAGACCCCTGTCGTTACTATAAATAGAAAAGAAAATTAATTGGCCACTAAATATATATATGAAAAGAATAGCCAGGCGGGGTGGGGCGCATGCACTGTAGTCCCAGGCTACTCAGGAGGCTGAGGCGAGGAGGAATCCCTGAAGCCTGGGGTTTGGAGGGTTGCTTTTGTTGAGCGAGGCTGACGCCACGGGCACTCACTCTTAGGCCCTGGGCAACAAAGTGAGACCTCTGTGCTTTTCTTAAGAAAAAAAAAAGGAAAGAAACAGGACAGGGATGGCAAAGAGAGCACAAGGAGCCACCAAAAAGAGCAGGAAAGGACTCAAAGTCACAAAGATGAGGCTGGTGGGGGATGGGGGAGGGAAATCAGGTCTGGCACCTGGTGGACGTTTTTTGCTCATGAAACGAGTCACAGGCAAGTGCCCCAGAATGGCTGGGCGGCTTGACGCACGTCATCACGGTGGGCCCAGGTTCCGTCCACGTTGTTGCTCCGCCACCTGCCGCCAGCTGCTCCCTCATGCCCGCGGGTGGAGCTGGCCAGGGGCCCAGCCCGGGGAGTTGAGGAGGTGGAAGGGGGGGGCAGCAGTTTCCTTGTAATCACGTCCCACCTGCCCTGTCCTCACTGTAAACCCTGGCGGGTGGCCTCATCCTGTCGGCGCTCAGTCCCTGAATCATCGAGCCACGCTGCTGCTGCGTAGCAAAGACCACGGACTTCACGGCGTGAGACACGCCCATTCCTCAGCTCGAAGTTCCCCAGCCGGGTCCTCCCATCGCCGAGTCTCACGGGGCCCAATCCGCAGCGTGTCAGCAGCGGAAGGTCGATTCTTGGAAGAATCCGACTGGTCAAGTTCGCGTTCGCGGCGTGGTTGGCAGAATGTTCGGGGTCTCTGCAGCTGTAAGCTGTGAATCCCCTAAATTTCATCCCTGGTTTGAATGTTTGTTCTCTCCGGGGGGGTGCGTCTAACCCTTCCCGTGCGTGGCAGCGTCTCTGGCCCTTTCTGCCACCAAGCCTCAGGGGCTTCACGTCGCCAGTCCAACGTGCATCAGGATCAGTCCCCCATATTTCTGAGGTCGCAGCAGGCATTGCATTTCAACAATGTCTGCAACGCCCTTTCACAGCAGTCTCCGGGTTCATGGAAACCGATCTCGGTGGTCCCGAGACCACCCTGTGACACAGCTGACCTCAGAAACCGAGAAAACTGTTTTCTCACTACTTGTTTCGGTGAAATACAGTTTAAATCGCCAAAAAAAAAGATCGGCGCTCGCCCCAGGCCGGGACTCAGCACGAGATTCCAGTTGTCTTCTCCCAGTCACATCCCAGGGGCCGCACGTTGAGCTTCTTCCCCTGGGCTGCTGTGGACGACGTGTTGCAGGCAGCTGCGGGCGAGGAGGCTCAACCGAGGCCGCTTCGGCTCGCCAGGTTTTTATCGGAGGAGGTTGGTCGCGTAGGCATGGCTGGCCTTAGTTGCTCAGTCTGCACCCCTGCAGACATCGCCCCGAAGACAGTCTTATCAGGCAGGACATCCAAGGACTTAGCAGTCACTTCCCTGGGGCAGGTCAAGGGCTAGTCTTTTCCTTTGCAATGTGCAGGGTTTGGACAACACAGGCCTGCTGAGCCAGTGCTTACTGCACGGCCCCTCTCTGTGTGGCCTCAAGAAGTCCAGTCTCTACGACACCCACCCGATTCCCTTCCTGAGAGTTTCATACATTCCTGGGGGCCGGGTGTGGTGGCTCACACCTGTAATCCTAGCACTCTGGGAGGCTGAGGTGGGAGGATCATTTGAGGCCAGGAGTTCGAGACCGGCCTGAGCAAGAATGAGAGCCCGTCTCTACAAAAAAAAAATAGAAAGATTAGCCAGCATGATGGCTCACGAATGTAGTCCCAGCTACTCAGGAGGCTGAGGCAGGAGGATCACTTGAGCCCAGGAGTTCAAGGCTGCAGTGAGCTATGATGAGGCCACTGCACTGCAGCTTAGGCAGCAGAGTGAGACCGTGTCTTGGGAAAAAAAGAAAAAAAACGACTCCTGGGGATGTGGCTGCCCTTGGCTCATACGCCAGATGCTGCTCAGCTTCCCGAAGCCACGCTCCCCAAACCTCTGATCCGGGGGACCCCTCCCCATCCAGTCCTCGGTGAGGACAGGCCCCTCCTGGGGTTCACAGCTGAGCCAGGCCCCTCCTGGGGTTCACAGCTGAGCCAGGCCCCTCCTGGGGTTCACAGCTGAGCCAGGCCCCTCCTGGGGTTCACAGCTGAGCCAGGCCCCTCCTGGGGTTCACAGCTGAGCCAGGCTCTCCCGGGTAAGGAAGGTTGGCAGAGAGCTTGGGGACAGCGATTCTAACAGTCATGACAATGGCAGGCTTTTTCGAGGATGGGAGCGAGGAGGCAGGTCCCTGTCATTCTCCTTCTCTCTCTCTGTGTGTCCCCCCCGCCCCCGCCCCCGGCTCCGTCCATCTGTTAAGTGATTCGCTGGAAGGACCCAGAACCGAGAAGAGCTGTTAGACTCACGGTTGCAGTTTCTTGCCGGGAAAGGGTGTCACTCCAACCGCTGCTTCTCTCTCCCCCCCACCCCTCTGCTCTCCAGAAGAGTCTCATTCCTGTCTGGGGACATCGCTTCTCTCTTCCTGCTGCTTTTCCTTCCAGACCTTGTGTCTGGACCCCAGAAGCCCCTCTTGCCCCGCACCCCACTTTCTTGCCCCAGCCCCGCCCCAGGCAGCGCCGGCCACCTACGTAAACCGCACCTTCCCCAAACAGGAATGCTTTGTCACCGAAAAGGCCCAAATCCGGGCTGACCCCACCCAGGGCCACCCCCGGTGACACTCTCTCGAGGCTCCAGGTGGCTGGCCCGCCGAAGAGCCACTGTCCTGCCCTTTCCTCCCAAAGCCGGGGGCGCCGTGGCCAGAGCCCAGGCTGGGACCTGCCGTGGCTCGCTGGCATGTCCTATCAGCCAGAGACTGGCAGCCATGTTTGGCCACAGCTCATTGACCAAGAGCATCCATTGAGCGCCTACTGTATGCCTAGCCTCAGAACTTGGGGTGAGGCAGTGCAAGACAAACCAACCACCTGTTCTTGTGGGGCTGCGAGGGAGCAGGTGACAATAAACACGAGAATCGAGTAGGGAGCTGACGTGTGGCGCGGTGGGAAATGCCACGGGGGAAAAAAAGAGCAGGGTGAGGCTTGGGGTCCGGGTCGTGGGCGAAACCCTAAGTGGTCAGTGGCTCTTCCAGCGCAGCCCCGCCCCCAGGGCACGGTGGGGACAGTCTGGAGACCTTTTGTGGTTGTCACAGCTAGGAAGGGGCTGGTGCTCCTGGCTTCTGGTGCACAGAGACCGGGAATGGTGGTTACTGTCCTACCACGCACCGGACAGGCCCGGTGACAGAGAATGTTCACCAGAGACGCGAAGAATGACGCAAGGGAGGAGACACACTGTGGCAGCCAGTTCTGGGGCGGGGACCGGTTTGTGGGTCCTGGTGCCCATTTGCAGGGGTACCGCCTACCCCGAGAGTCCCGGCGTGGTGATAGTTCTGTCCCTGAGAAAGACTCAGCCTCAAGTGGACCCTGTGACCTCAGCGGGGGGGGGTCACCTCGAAATCGGCTAAGGAGGTCCCCACTGTTTAAAGGCGAATGACAATCCCGAGCGCAAAGCTTCCTAGTGAACTGAGGCAGAGTCTAAGGTGGGGGTTCTCAACTGGGGTGACTTTGTCCCCCCAAGGACACCTGGCAATGTCTGGGGACAGTTTTGGTTGCCTGGACTTGGAGCATTAGGAGGGGACTACATCCTACATGCACAGCACAGCCCCCAGCCAAGGATGCTGTGTCCCCAAACGTCACAGTGGTGTCTTGGCCGGGCGCGGTGGCTCGCGCCTGTAATCCGAGCACTCTAGGAGGCCGAGGTGGGAGGATCACCTGAGCTCAGGAGTTCAAGACCAGCCTGAGCAAGAGTGAGACCCCGTCTCTACTAAAAATAGAAAAATTAGTCGGTCATCGTGGTGTGCACCTGTCGTCCCAGGTACTCAGGAGGCTGAGGCAGGAGGATCCTGAGGCAGGAGGCTGAGTCCAGGAGTTTGAGGCTGCAGTGAGCTATGATGTTGCCAGGGCAACCAAGTAAGACTCTGTCTCAAATAAAAAAGAAATAAAGAAAAGAAAAAAAGTCACTTTCTCCTTATATGTTTCCTGTTTCCCGTGGGGAAGAGGAAGATGCCTCGTGTGATAAACTGTATAATGTCCCTTCTCAAATTCACATATTGAATTCACAAAGCCCTAACCTTTGTATTAGTGCCTGAAACTCACTTATAGCTCACTGCAGCCTCGAACTCCAGGGCTCAAGCGATCCTCCCGCCTCTGCCTCCCACGTAGCTGGGACTACAGGTTCACGCCACCACTCTGGCTAATTTTTCTGGTTTTTTTGTAGAGATGGGGGGGGTCCCACTGTATTCCCCAGGCTGGTCTTGAACTCCTGGCCTCAAGTGATCCTCCCCCCTCGGCCTCCCAAAGTGCTAGGATTACAGGTGCGAGCCACTGCACCCAGCCAAAAACGACTTTTACCAGGAAATGTCACATTCTCTCCTTTCCCTGTCTCTGAGAAGGGGCTGCAGAGGCCCCGGGCAGCTCAGGTGGCTGCAGTAGACAGTAGACTGTAAACACAGCTGTGAATTCCAGCAACTTCCCATGAGGAAAGAAAAAATGTTATAGGTTGGTGTTGAGAGCCCAGCGACAAAGGAGTTTTTCCCACGGATCTCCCGCCGTGGCCTTGACCTCCCAGCCTGAGTCCAGGCCACCAGTCAGCCCCACCCCCATGGGCTCGGCCCAGTGACCGCAGCCGCCTCCACCAGTAGCCCCCACGGGGGAGGTCTCCAGATCCCGCCACGGAGCCCGCCCTCTAGTGGCTGAGATGGAGAACAACCACATAAAGCGACAAATGCGAAGAGGAGGAAAAAAGTAGGAGAAAGGCTAGGTCAATGGGGGAGGGGGTTTAAGATGGGGAGTCAGGTGGCAAAACCTCTTCAATAAAGGGTTTGAGCAGGCCGGGCGCGGCGGCTCACGCCTGTAATCCTAACACTCTGGGAGGCCGAGGTGGGCGGATCACTCAAGGCTAATTATATATATATATATATATAATTATCTGGGCACGGTGGCACATGCCTGTAGTCCCAGCTACTGGGGAGGCTGAGGCTGGAGGATCGCTTGAGCCCAGGAGTTGGAGGCTGCAGCGAGCTACGACTGTGCCACTGCACTCCAGCCCAGGCAACAGGGCAAGACCCTGTCTCAAAAAATAATGATAATCTTATGGTGGACACTGCCCCAAGGCTGCACACACATAAGCGACTTCGATCGTCAAACAACCAGGTAAGACAAGGGCTGTTGCTGTCACCCCCATTTCACAGATGGGGAAACTGAGGCACCAGGCAGTAGAGTAGCCTAAGTCCAGCAGTGAGTGCGTGGAACCTACAGTCGCCCAGCCCCTCTCAGTGCTGGACTGTCTCCCCGCAGCCGCCACCCGTCCCTGGCCCTGCCGAGAACCAGAGCTGCCTGGCGCCTCCTCTGGGCCAGGCCCTTGGGGCACTGGGGACCCCGTGGGGACCAGAAGGGTGGCTCTGGTCTCATTCTTGGGCGCGGCTGGCTCTGCGACTGACGCAGAGCTCAGTCGACATCCGCACAGGCGGTCAGGGTCTCGTCTGCGCCCCCGTTGCAGGCGGGGCGGACAAGCAGCAGATGGACGCCGAGCTCCGGAAAGAGATGATGGCCATTTGGCCCAACCTGTCCCAGAAGACCCTGGACCTGCTGGTCACACCTCACAAGTGTAAGAGCCGGGCCCAGGCCCTGGGCTCCCACCACCCCGGATGGAGGGGGCCGGGGGAGGGAAAGAGGAGGCCTGGGGGGGTGCAGGGACAGGGCTGGCACCCACAGGGACGCAGGACCAGGGCTCCAAGGAGGCCCCCGCCCTGTGCCCCCAGCCACCGACCTCACCGTGGGCAAGATCTACGCGGCCATGATGATCATGGAGTACTACCGGCAGAGCAAGGCCAAGAAGCTGCAGGCCATGCGCGAGGAACAGGTACATTGTCCCTCGCCCTGGGGACACCTGGGCTAGGGGACCAGCCAGAACAGAGGACGGTGGTGGCCAAGCCCCAGAGCAGGTCGCTGAAAAACTAGGGGCTTGCCAAGGATATATATGCACAGATCAGTTCAACTGCTCCACCAACACTTATTGAGCACCTCCTGTGTGCCGAGTCCTGTTCTCCCCCCAGAGGGCCCAGCTGTGAGCAGAACACACACACCAGAATCCTCGTCCTCAGGGAGCGAGCGCTCCAGCTGGGGACAAGCGGCCGAGCCACAGAGCGTGGCGGCAGAGAGAACGTCACGGGGGACAGTGGAGCGAAGTGCCGGGGAGAGGGCTGTGCAATGAGAAGTGGGTGGTCAGAGGGGCCTCCCTGAGGAGGTGACGTCTGAGCCAGGGAGATGTCCAGGGAAAGGCATTCTGGGTAGAGGAAACAGCCAGTGCAAAGTCCCTGAGGCTGGACAGAGCCTGGGTGTCTGGGGAACAGCAAGCAGGTGGACGTGGCGGAACAGAGCGAGGAGGTGCTGGGAGGTCATGGGGCAGATCCATCAGGGCCTTGGGGGCTGCAGGGAGGACTCTGGCTTTTACCCCAAGGAAGGTGGGAGCCATGGAGGGTTCTTTGTGGAGGAGGGATGTAACCTGACTCAGGTGCTCCCAGGTGCCCTCTGGTGGCTGTTGGGGGGGTAACAGACAGTGGGAGGTGAGGGTGGGAGCTGGGAGACCTGGGAGGAGGTGGCCTGGGTCGTCCAGGTGGGAAAAGAGGGGGCTGTGACTTCGTGCCGGGTAGAGGGACGAGAAGTGGTCCAGTTCTAGGTGGATTTGGAAGAAAGAGTGTAGCCGGATCGGCCCCGTGTGCGTCTGTGTGTGTGCGCATGCGCGCGTGCGCGTGTGGCGGGGTGTCGGAATGACTTCTGTGTGCTCCCCCGCCCCCACCCTTGTGCACACACCGCTCTGCCCGCCCGCCAGGACCGGACCCCACTCATGTTCCAGCGCATGGAGCCCCCGTCCCCGACGCAGGAGGGGGTGCCCGGCCAGAACGCCCTCCCCTCCACCCAGCTGGACCCGGCAGGCGGCCTGTGAGTGTGGCTCCGGCCAGGAGGCAGGGCGTGGGTGGCCGGTGCCAGGCCCCGGGAGGCCCCCAGCGCCCGCCGCCATGCTGGCCTCTGTCCCCCACGCAGGATGGCTCCCGAGAGTGGCGTCAAGGAGAGCCCGTCCTGGGTGACCCAGCGAGCCCAGGAGATGTTCCAGAAGAACGGGCACCTGGAGCCCGGGGCGGGGGCCCCCCGCCGACATGCCCAGCACCCAGCCCAACTCTTCAGTGCCCCACAGCGCCCGGGCGGGGCCCCCGCCGACCATATCCACCCAGCACCCAGCCCCAACTCTCATGGTGCCCGCACAGCGCCGCCGGGCGGGGCCCCCGCCGACATGCCCAGCACCCAGCCCAACTCCGGTGCCGCACCAGCGCCCGGGGCGGGGGCCCCGCCGACATGCCCAGCACCCAGCCCAACTCTCAGGTGCCCGCACAGCGCCCGGGGCGGGGGCCGCCCGCCGACATGCCCAGCACCCAGCCCCAACTGCCAGGTGCCCCGCACAAGCGCCCGGGGCGGGGCCCCGCCGACATGTCAAACAGCACCCAGCCAACCTCAGGTGCACCGCACAGCTGCCCGGGGCGGGGGCCACGCCCGCCGACATCCCAGCACCAGCCACTCTCAGGTGGCGACCAGCGCCCCGGGGCGGGGCCCCGCCGACATGCCCAACACCCCAGCCCAACTCTCAGGTGGCCCGCACAGGCGCCCAGGGGCGGGGCCGCCCGCGACCATGCCCAGCACCCAGCCCAACTCTCAGGTGCCCGCACAGCGCCCGGGCGGGCGGCCCGCCGACATGCCAGGCACCCAGCCCACTCTCAGGTGCCCGCACAGCTCCGGGGCGGGCCCCCGCCGACATGCCCAGCACCCAGCCCAACTCTCAGGTGCCCGCACAGCGCCCGGGGCGGGGGCCGCCCGCCGACATGCCCAGCACCCAGCCCAACTCTCAAGGTGCCCGCACAGCGCCCGGGGCGGGGGCCGCCGCCGACATGCCCCACACCCAGCCTCCAACTCTCGGCTGCCCCACAGCGCCCGGGCTGGGGGCCCCCGCCGGACATTGCCCAACACCCAGCCAACTCTCAGGGTGCCGCAAGCGCCGGGGCCTGGCGGCCCGCCCGACGCATGCCCAACACAAGCCAACTTCCAGGGTGCCCGCACACGCGCCCGGGAGCGGGGGCCGCCGATCATGCCCAGCACCCAGCCCAACTCTCAGGTGCCCGCACAGCGCCCGGGGCGGGGGCCGCCCGCCGACATGCCCAACACCCAGCCCAACTCTCAGGTGCCCGCACAGCGCCCGGGGCGGGGGCCGCCCGCCGACATGCCCAACACCCAGCCCAACTCTCAGGTGCCCGCACAGCGCCCGGGGCGGGGGCCCCCCGCCGACATGCCCAACACCCAGCCCAACTCTCAGGTGCCCGCACAGCGCCCGGGGCGGGGCCCCGCCGACATGCCCAGCACCCAGCCCCAACTCTCAGGTGCCGCACAGCGCCGGGGCGGACGGCCGCCGCGCCGACATGCCCACACCCAGCAAACTCTCAGGTGCCCACAGCCGCCGGAGCGGGGGGGCCCCGACAGCCAACACCCAGCAACTCCTCAGGTGCCCCGCACCGAGCGCGCCGGGGCGGGGCCCCCGCCAGACATGCCCACACCCAGCACTCCAGGTGCGCAAGCGGGGGGGGGCAGGACATGCAGCACAGCAACTCTCAGGTGCCCGCACAGCGCCCGGGGCGGGGCGGTGGGGGGGTCAGGGCCCCCAGGGCCCCACCGCGCAGACGCCGGCCACCCCTGGGTCCCCGCGCCAGGCCCGGGGCTCACCCAGCGGCGCCGTCGCCCGCAGTCCGTGGAGATGCAGGAGATGGGCCGAGACGGCTACTCGGACAGCGAGCGCTACCTCCCCATGGAAGGCCAGGCCCGGGCGGCCTCCATGCCCCGCCTCCCCGCCGAGAACCAGGTGAGGGCTTTCACCCACCGCCGCACGGCCAGCCCCGGAGCCGCGGTGACACGGCACCGCACCCACAGCCCTGCCGTTAGGCAGCCCCGCACGGCCCCTCCCTGCAAGCCCGGCCTGGGCGGGTCCCCTGCCCCCTCCTGGCCACACCCAGGTTTGGGGGTGCTGAGGGGGGAGGGGTTTCATCAGACCCAGGTGACAGCTGTAATCATTAACACACACACACACACACAGGCACACGTGCACAACACGAATGCACATGCGTGTCCACACCTGCATACAGATGTGTCCACTTGCACGGGTATGCACATGGACATACACACACGTGCCCACGTGCGTCCGCACACAGGAACGTGGGGGTCCTGGCACCTGGCGGCAGAGTCCAGGGTGGGTGAGGGCCGGCCGGGCTCTGTATTTTATCTGGTGTCTTCGGGGGCTGGGCCGGGCAGGCTGTGCCCTGGCGTGTGTCTGCGTGTGGCTGCTTTACCTGCTGTCCCAGGCTCTCGGGGACAGAGGGGCTGGGAGCCGGGGCATGGCTGGCTGCCCTCCCAGCCTGAGAGGTGGGGGCCTAGGGCCCAGCCCGCCCCTCGGGGAGCCGCGGGCACTGGCGCGGGCTTGTCTGGCTGTGCAGAGCTTGCGTGTGCTGGGCCGGCGTGTGCAGGCCCGAGGGCTGCTCCGTGCGCCTGGCTGGGCCAGCGTTATCCGAGGGCCTGGCTCTGGCTGCTGCGAACCTGGCTGGGGGCGCCCAGCCTGCATGTGGCTGCCCATCCCAGCCCCGGGGCGCCCCTCCCTCAGGACCGAGCCACTGGGCCCCAGGGGAGGGTCGGGACAGCCCAGACGACAGCCACCGCCGGAAGCTTTGAGTGTCAGCTGGGGCCAGGGGCTGGGGCGCATCGCATGTGGCCTCGTGGCCACGCCGGCCCATCTGTCTGTCCCGCGCCTCTGCCATCTGTCTGTCCGTGTCTCCTGTCTGTCTCCTCGCACCCCTGGGGGGACGGCCGGCCGGGCCCTGGGGCAGCCGCCCCACCCACCAGGGACTTTAACTTTTCTATTCCCCCCTTACCCCCCACTTCACTCCTCGACCCTCTCCCCCTCCCTAGGCCCCTCCATGTGCCACCGCCTCACTCTCCCTCTTGCCTTTTATATTTATTTTCTTCTTTCTGTTTTTTCTGTGTGCACCATCCCGTGGGGCGGTGACAGAGGAGGAGGGGCCGGCCACGCGGGAATAACCTCAGTGTATGTACTGCGCCGCCCGCCGCGGCCGCGGGCTCCGGCCCCCTCTTCCTCCCCACCCCCCCTTGGGGAGTCCCATCGTCTCTCACCCCCCCAGCCCCCTTTCTTCGCAGACCACACCCTCCCCCCATGGAGCCCCCCCGTGTGTCCTGTCCTGTGTGTGCCCCGTGGCCCTAGCGGGCCACCCCCCTTCAGACCCCCACCTACCCCAGGGCCAGGAGGCGCGGGCTCCCGAGTGGCCCCTCCTGCTTGTTCCCCTGACCCCCGACCCCTGGCCCTGCAGCCTCCTGCCTGGGGCGGTGCCACCAGCAGCCCAGCCAGGCTGCGCCCTCCGTGGGTGTCCGAGAGGTGGAGGGGGTGTCGGCCCATCTTCCTGCCTCCCTCCTCTGCCTCCCGCAGAGGATCCTTTCTGTCTGGGCTGGACCGGGCAGCACATGCGGGCTCCCCAGGATGGGGAGGGTGGCCCCCCAGGGCCTCAGATGCCAGGGCAGCCACTGGCGCGGCCCAGCCCGCGTGGGACAGAGGGAGCCGGTCATGGGGGAAAGGAGAGCTGGGGCCCGGCGCCTGGCCCTGAGCCTGGGCACAGGCCACCCAGCCGCAGGGTCCAGCTGGACCCCCAGGTCTGCACCCCGGATTCAGGGAGCTCTTCCCTTCTGCCGGCCTGTCGGACCCTGGCAGGGGCCCAGGGCCGGGAGGTAGGGACCAGAAGGGGCCTCCGGGCCAGGGCCTGGTCACTCCGGAGCAGCCTCCCAGCCCCTGCCCCTGGATGGTCATAGCCCGGTCACCCGAGGCCGCCCACCAGGCTGCTCGATGGGGCGGGAAGGACCGTCACCGCATGGTGCCGGCCGCTGACCCGGCCCGACGGCCTGTCCCCCACCCCAGACCATCTCAGACACCAGCCCCATGAAGCGCTCTGCCTCCGTGCTGGGCCCCAAGGCCCGGCGCCTGGACGACTACTCGCTGGAGCGGGTCCCGCCCGAGGAGAACCAGCGGCACCACCCGCGGCGCCGCGACCGCGGCCACCGGGCCTCCGAGCGCTCCCTGGGCCGCTACACGGACGTGGACACAGGTGGGCAGCCCTGCGCGGCCCGGGACAGGAGGCTGGAGACAAGACAGAGGGAGAGGTGCCCGGGGAGGGGACAAGGGGCCAGGCAGCCCACCCTCCCTCACTGCTGTCTGTCTGACCCCTGCCGGGCCCAGGGCTGGGGACAGACCTCAGCATGACCACCCAGTCGGGGGACCTGCCGCCGAAGGAGCGCGACCAGGAGCGGGGCCGGCCCAAGGACAGGAAGCACCGGCCGCACCACCACCACCACCACCACCACCACCCCCCGCCCCCCGACAAGGAGCGCTACGCCCCGGAGCGGCCCGACCACGGCCGCGCGCGGCCCAGGGACCAGCGCTGGTCGCGCTCGCCCAGCGAGGGCCGGGAGCACGTGGCGCACAGGCAGGTGGGTGCCGGAGGGGCGGCGCCAGCGGCTCACCGCGGGGGCGGGAGGCCCCGCCCACCCGTGACAACCCTAGGGGGCGGGTGGGTCCCGGATCCCCATCCCTGGCCAGCACCAGGCTCCCCCAGCCGGGCGCCCGGCGGGACGGAGACCCCCCTGCCACACCGCCCGCTCTGCCCCCCAGCCCCCTCCCCGCAGCTGCTTCCTCCTTGGTTGTGGATCACGTTTGAGTTCGGGCCGCGGCCCTCGCCTCTCGCTTTCCTTTAACCCGGCTCCCCCTTTTTGTTTCGATTATGATTTCTGTCCTCTGGACGCCTGTGAGTAATTTTTGAAACTTCTGCTATTTTAACCCCAAAACTTACAAAACTCCATTTCTCATTTCTCTTTTCACTTTGTTGTGTTGGTTTTCGACTCCCCCTCCTCCTTGTCTCTCACCCTCCTCCCCTCCCCTCCCCCCTGTGGCTGTGGCTTTTCTCCTTTTTTTCCATTCGAATGTCCTGTGTCCCCTCCCCCACCCTCCTCCTCCTCCTCCCCTCCCCCTCCCGCCCGTCCTCTGTGTCTCCTCCCGTCTCCTTCTGGTTGATTTTGTTGTATCTTTTTTTTTGATTTCCTTTGTTTCAATTTTCGTGTAGGGCAGTAGTTCCGTAAGTGGAAGCCCAGCCCCCTCAACGTCTGGTACCAGCACTCCGCGGCGGGGACGCCGCCAGCTCCCCCAGACCCCGTCCACCCCCCGGCCGCACGTGTCCTATTCCCCCGTGATCCGTAAGGCCGGCGGCCCGGGCGCCCCGCAGCAGCAGCAGGCGGCGGCCAGCCGGGCCGGGCGGCCCCGGCGGCCCGCGGAGGTACCCGGGCGCCGCGGCCGGCCAGAGGCCGGGAGCGGCGCCCGCGGGGGCCACGGCAGCAGCCGCTCGCCCGGGATGGAGCGGCGGGCCCCCGGCCCGGCCCGGAGCGAGTCCCCCAGGGCCTGTCGCCACGGCGGGGCCCGCTGGCCGGCATCCGGCCCGCACGCGTCCGAGGGGCCCCCGGGGCCCTGGCACCACGGCTACTACCGCGGCTCCGACTACGACGAGGCCGACGGCCGGGCCGGCGCGGGCGGCGAGGAGGCCGCGCCCGGGGCCTACGACGCGCCGCCCCCCGCGCGACACACGTCCTCGGGCGCCACCGGGCGCTCGCCCAGGACTCCCCGGGCCTCGGGCCCGGCCTGCGCCTCGCCTTCCCGGCACGGCCGGCGGCTCCCCAACGGCTACTACCCGGCGCACGGACTGGCCAGGCCCCGCGGGCCCGGGCCCCGGAAGGGCCTGCACGAACCCTACAGCGAGAGCGACGACGACTGGTGCTAAGCCCGGCGCGGTGGCCGCCCGGCCCCCACGCACCCCGCGCACCCCCGCCCGGAGGAGCCGGCACGCCGGCGGGGACACCCGACTCTGGAGGGGCCGGGCCTGGGCCGCGAAGCCGCCCCACGAAGCCCCCCGCCGGAGAAGCCCCTCCTGGGCGGCGACAGCGCCCGCGGCCCAGCCCCGTCCCCGCCCGCCCGCCCGCCCGCGACAGGGCTCTCGGGTGGGGGCAGAGGGCAGACAAATCACACCGCCAAGGGATTTGAATTAACTCAGCCATTTTTGGAGAACTTTGGGGTACATGAAAAAAAAAACACACAAACACACACAAAAAAAACATTTTTAAAAGAAAAAAAATGGGGAGAAAAAAATAGCTTCTATTGATGAGTTTTATCATCTCAATTGAATCTTTCCTGTCCCTGGTGAACTCGAGCTGGTGGCCACGTGCGGCGAAAAGCCGGCAGGAAGCGGGACCCCAGCGCCCCCGACCGACCGACCGACCGACGGCCAGACACACTCGCATCCACACACGTTCTCAGACACGCCCGGGAGTGCTTGCTGGTTATACCAAACCCTACTATTACTGCCTGCAGAAAATCAATTTAAAAAGAATAATAATAATAATAAACGATTTTAAAAAGGACAAAAAAATTAATGATCGAGAAAAGAGGCATTTTTTTCTGACATTTGGTCCTGCTTGAAGTAACAGAAGAAGAAGAAGACAAAAAAAAAAAAAAACACCACCGCCACCACCACCACCAAATTCCTCTGCTTCCTTTTTCCTTTTTTCCTACCTTGTTTGAAAACCGTGGGCTTGGGACTGTGAATTATTGCATGACATTAAAAATGAAAAAAAAAATAATAAAAAAAAAAAACATTGAATCAAAGGGCTTTTGAATGGGAGTGGTCTTTGTCCCTTGGCAAAGGGTCTCTCTGCCCTGGGGAACGGATGGCAGGAGGAGGCACCTTGTTGGCTCCTGGGAGAAACGTAACAAAGCTGTAGGTCCTCAGTCCCCGCTCCTGGGACGTCTGGGTGTTGTCCCAAACCTAGCAGAGAGCCAGGCAAGCCTCCCTCCTCCGTGGCCTGAGCTGCAGGGACCCTGACTGCATTCGTGGCTCAGAGCAGACAAAACCAAAGATGCTCAGCAGGTCCTCACCAGGTGCCCCTGCTTGGGGACAGACCCAGCACGCCCTACCCCACTCCATGCTGTTAGCCGATGGCCCATGTTTCTCCGGATGCTTAGGTCCCACCTAAGAGCCACCATCCTGGATTATAAACCACGTCCGGAGGGCTGGGCCTGCAGGACCCTGGGAAATCCCACTGCAAACACCGGGCAAGCCCAGCTCAGGCCACCTGTGCCCAGGAGGGGTCTCCGCAGCGAGGAGTGAGCCCCACTCTGTCACCGCCCCTGACACCTCCCACCCCAGCCCACCTGCCCCCAAGCAGCTGTTTCTGAAAGCTCTGCCCTGCTACCCAGACTTTCCTGAGATGTCCCCAAGTTACCCACAGCCACTGGAGAGTTCACTGGAGGTCCAAGTCACAGCAGCCCACGGGTGGCAGGGGGCGGTCACGCCCAGCTCAAGGTGAAGGCAGCCCATGACAGGTACAGGTGGGAGCAGGTTCTTTTTTTTTTTTGAGACAGAGTCTCACTTTGTTGCTCAGGCTAGAGTGAGTGCCGTGGCGTTAGCCTCGCTCACAGCAACCTCCAACTCCTGGGCTCAAGCGATCCTCCTGCCTCAGCCTCCCGAGTAGCTGGGACTACAGGCATGCGCCACCATGCCCGGCTAATTTTCTCTCTATATATTAGTTGGCCAATTAATTTCTTTCTATTTATAGTAGAGATGGGGTCTCGCTCTTGCTCAGGCTGGTTTTGAACTCCTGACCTCGAGCGATCCGCCCGTCTCGGCCTCCCAGAGTGCTAGGATTACAGGTGTGAGCCGCCGTGCCCGGCCAGGAGCCGGGTTCTTAATGGGGGGGCTGACAGCCTGTCCCCCTTCAATCTTCACCCTCACCATGTTCCTGGACACTTCCACTCCAGTCTTCCAGTCTCAAAAATAAATAAAAATGAATAGTGTTCAGAAAACTAGATAACTATATGAAGAAGAATGAAACTAGACCCCTAATCTCTCATCATACATGAAAATCAAACCAAAATGAATTAAAAACTTAAATCTAAGACCTGAAACTACAACTACTAGGGAAAAAAAAATTGAGGGAAATGCTCTAGAACATTTGATCTGGACAAAGATATGTTGTGTAAGACCCCAAACACACAGGCAAACAAAGAAAAAATAGAAAAACATCATTTTTTTTTTTTTTAAAGAAATGATGTCTCCTAGGTTGCCAGGCTGGCCTCAAATTCCTGGGCTCAAGCATTCTCCTGACTCAGCCTCCTGAGTAGCTGTGACTACAGGCATGCACCACTGCACCTGGCTTTAAAAAAGGTTTAAAGGGTGTCCATGCACTTTCTTCTCCAAAAAGCGCTTCCCGAAGCTCAGGATCGCCCTGGCTGACCAAAGACCACACTATAATAACCAACTGGGCAATCAAATTAGACTCAGAGCCCTGCAAAACCAAGTCCTGGGCTTTGTTCAAGGTGGTGTCCCCAGCTCCTGGCTCCTAGGAGGGAGGGGATGGGAGGGGAAGGGGACAGGGGGACAAGGGACATTGGTTGCACACTCTGGACAAGTGTGAGGTTGCACACTCTGGACAAGTGTGAACAGCCGGCAGACCTACAGCGCCACCTAGAGACTAAATGGAAAACAGCCAAGGGCAGGACCATTCTAACTATAGCTGGCGGAGAAACCTGAACTTGGGCCCAGGCAAAGAGACACTGGAGGGCACTAGAGCATCCCACCTCCCAGCTGCAAGGACGGAAATGTGACCGATGGGGATATAATGATTACAGATCAAAAGAACTTTTTTTTTTGAGACAGAGTCTCACTCTGTTGCCCAGGCTAGAGTGAGTGCCGTGGCGTCAGCCTAGCTCACAGCAACCTCCAACTCCTGGGCTCCAAGGCGATCCTCCTGCCCTCCCCAGCCTCCGAGTAGCTGGGACTACAGGCATGTGGCCACCCATGCCCAGCTGATATATATATATATATTACCTATTTTTTTTGGTTGCCAGTTAAATTTCTGTCTATTTTTAGTAGATACAGGGTGCCTCGCGTCTTGCTCAAGGCTGGTATGAACTCCTGAGCTCAAAGGATCCGCCCCACCCCGCCTCGGCTCCAGAGTTGCCTAGAATCACAGGGTGAGCCACCTCCGCCCCAGCGCCAAAAGAACCGTTTTTTTTTCAAGACCCCAGAGTTCTCGGCTTGGATGCCGCAGAATAGACTACAGTGGCGTCCAGCTAGCTCCACAGAAACTTCAGAACTGCCATGGGGCTCAAGCGATCCTCCCTTCAAAAACTCCCAGCCCTCCGAGTAGGCTGGGACTACAGGTGTGGCACCACCCCACGCCTGGCTAATTTTTTCTATTTTTAATAGAGACGGGGTCTTGCTCTTACTCAGGCTGGTCTTGAACTCCTGAGCTCAAGTGATCCTCCCACCTCAGCCTCCCAGAGTGCTAGGATGACAGGCGTGAGCCACTGTGCCTGGCCCAACTATGCCTTCTTGAGATGGATGGGGCTTTGCCATGGTTCCCCGCTGATTTTAGAGTAATATTCACACTCTTCTCTGAATTCCTAAGCATGTGTAGAATCATCCAGTTGCCAGCTTTGGCCCAGTAGTTCCATGAGCTCATGGCAGAAAGTTTAATTCTCTATAAAAAAAAAAAAAAAAAAAAAACTCATCCTAGTGGGACTTGGGTGACAGGGCAGTGCCTAAGGCCCCTACAGGTGTTAGCCCAAGCAGCTGGCCAGGGACCCAGAAAAAAGAGTTGATTATATAGTTGGGTGTGGTGGCTCACGCCTGCAGTCTCAGCTACTTGGGAGGCTCAGACAGGAGAAGTTTGAGACCAGCCCGGGCAAGATCCCATCTCTAAAAAAATGTTTAAATTAGCCAGGCATAGTAGCATGCACCTGTAGTCCCAGCCACTCAGGAGGCTGAGGCAAGAGGATGGCTTGAGCCCAGGAGTTCAAGGCTGCAGCGAGCTATGATGATGCCACTGCACTCCAGCCTGGGTGACAGACCAAGATCCTGTATCCAAAAAGAAAAGAAAAAAAAGTATGACTTAAATCTGTGCCCAGCTGGATCTCTCTCCACCCAGCCCTGCCACCTCCTCAACATGCCCCTGCTGGCTGAGGCCTAGTAACCTCCTGCCCCCTCCACCCCCTGCCCCCTCCACCGTCCTACTAAATCATGGAGCAGCAACAACAATCTCCAGGTCTTTGAACTTCAGGTGGTTAAAAGTTCAAGGTGGTTCCGGATATTGCACCCATTTGTGCCCCACCCCTCCCCGCTGGCCACAGAGAACAAGGCTCTGCTGCCTGGGGAGCCAAACCATGAATCTAAAGTCCAGTTAGGGCTGGGTGCCGCGGCTCACGCCTGTAATCCTAACACCCTGGGAGGCCGAGGCGGGAGGATGGCTGGAGGCCCAGAGTTCAAGACCAGAGTGAGCAAGTGGAAAACCCCATCTCTACTAAAAATAGAAAAAATTAGCCAGGCATAGTGGTGCATGCCTGTAGTCCCAGTTACTCGGGAGGCTGAGGCAGGAGGATCGCTTGAGCCCAGGAGTTTGAGGTTGCAGTGAGCGATGATGACACCATCACACTCCAGCCTGGGCGACAAAAGTGAAACACAGTCTTTATTTAAAAAAAAAAAAAAAAAAAAAGCAAGGGACATGAACGTGCACCTCCGGGAAGAGGTGGGTGCCTTAGAATCCCGCAGGAGTTACCTGGCTATAGCGGCCACTGCATGTGCCTAGGGGCTGCCCCTGGCCTCCAGCCCCTGGTGGGCACCCCTAAGTCGGGCCCCCCTGGGCTTCCACCGCGGTGCAGAGCTGGGCAGGGCGGGGCGGGCAGGGCGGCCGGGTCCGCAGGCATCCAGCCAGGACTCCTCGGCGAGATGCCCCAGCCCCTCTGGCGAGGACCGGGCAGTGGAGGCGGAGAAAGTCGCCTTTAACTATAGCTCGGCACCATCTGACTGCAGCCCCGCGCTGTATGCAGTCGGAGCCAATGGCAGGAAGCCAGCAGCCGCCCCCTGCCCAGCCAGCCTCCCTGCCGCCTGGGTTGGCGACGCCCCCGCCCCTCGGCCCGCCACCCCGCCCCCGCAGCCGGCGACAGCCCGCGGCCCGAGGTCCGGGCTGTCTGCAAATGTGAGGTATAAAGAGAGCCGCGGGCGGGGCGGGCGCGGCGCTTCCGCCGCGAGATGCCGCCCCCCGCGAGAGCCCCCCGCTGCAGATGCCCCCCCCCCGCGAGATGCCCCCCCCCGCGAGATGCCCCCCCGCGAGATGCCCCCCCCGCGAGATGCCCCGCCCCGAGATGCCCCCGCGGAGCCCCTCCCCCCGCGAGATGCCCCCCTGCGACGATGCCCCCTCCCCCGCGAGATGCCCCCCCGCCCGAGATGCCCCCCGCGAGATGCCCCCCCCGGCGAGATGCCCCCCGCGATTGATGCGCGCCGCCCGCGCCCACCGCGCCGCCCGCGAGATGCCGTCCCCGCCCGGCACAGCTGTGCGCCCGCGCCCCGCACACGCGCCGCCACAGGCCCGCATTTAGAACCGCGGGGAAGGCGGGCGCCGGGGGCTGCAGGCGCGATGCGTGAGGAAGGCCTCTCTCGGGTCCGGCTGGGGCCCAGGTCCCCCCTGCCCCCGAGTCACGCCTGTGCAGCCAGGACACCAGGACACCGACGGGCTCTGGCTGCTGCCGCCTTGCAGCCTTCCTTCCCGCCCTGCGAACGCGCACGCCTTTGAATTCCACCGCGGGTCCTCCGGGCCTCCCGTCCCTCCTCG